CAGACCTCGAATATTTCGAATATACGTATGGAAGTATAAAAATTGTTAATATCGGATATTGTTGCAAGTGCGAGGGAACGGAGAAAAAGACAATATTCATTGGCGCCAAGAACCAGTTCTTTTGCAAAACGAGTTGAATCATCATAGGAAGGTTCACGGGGCGAAAATAAATATGTATTTGAAAACGATATAAATATCATTTTCAGTTTGCCCTGAGAATATCCGCCAGGCCAGTGGATCTATTTTTAAATAGCGCGTTTTATTTCGCACACGTTACATCTCTGCTATGAGATGTGGCAATGCTCGGACTCGATGGAACAAACGTGCTTAGGGGGATGTAATTCATTACCTTCTGGATGACCAAGGGCGCAGCGAAATCCTTGCCGCCCTGCAGTCTAAATCCTAGATTCGGTGACTCTCCCTTGCTCAGGTGTATGGTCATTATCTGGGCAGCCATTGTCCGTGCGGCGGGGGGAGACGAACGATCACAGAAAAATAATTATTAGAACCAAATTCGATGGATAGAAAATGTGAAAAGATGAATGCGGACGGGGGTTTTCGGAACGCGCGGCCCGTGGATTTTCGAAATAGTCAGAATAATTTCCTCCCGGGAAAACTTTTTGCGCCAGAACTTTGAAATATAATGAAGCCGAAGTCGGGTTTTGATTTGAGTCGAGCGCACGGACTCGTAGACCGTCGAGTAGGATCGTCCCCAAAGTGGGGACTGGCGGGCTTTTATTTATAGAATTTCGTCCGAAAAGAAATGAAAATTGGAATCCACGAAGGATCAACAGAGATGAACTGAACCCAGGATGAGGCTCTTGCTAAGGATTCCGAAACACCAAACACACAAAAAAAAAGGAGGAGGCATTCTCCAAGATAAGGAAGGCTTGTGGTGATCATCATCAGTAGGTGGAGCAGGAAAAAAAAATTGTACGCACAATTATATAAATATTCCTCGCGAGAGAGGTTTATTTGCAAAATTCTCTACAGCGCCTACCGACGGGTCCGTTTTAAATATAGGTCAAAATGGAGACCAATGGAATTCTGTTTTCGTTGCTAAATTTAAATTCCGATTCAGTTTCTTTTCCTCTCCACACTGTGTCCAAACGACTCTTGTTTCCTCTTCTATTCTTTCATATTTTTTTATTCGAAGTCCGGGAATTCGAAGCACCCGACACACCACCCATTCATTACGCTAACGCAATATTCAATTTCCTAGGCATTTCCGAAGTCTTTTTTTGAAACTACACACAACCGAAATTTCTGTTAAATCGTTTTTTTTTTTTTCCGTAAATATCCTTTTCATATAAATATATTTCATGGTCATTATTACAACATGCTATTATGTCTACAAAAATATTTTACACTATTTTAGATAATAATTTCCCATTAAGAACTGAATAATTTAGGATATTTACCTATTTGATTTAAATCTTTTTGAAATGTTCATAATTAATCATAGATTTATTTTATAACAACATGTTGTGTTAAGACTATAGAAATTTGTCTTCGAATAAATAGAATGGCACTCTACGATTATATTTGTTAGAAGTTGGCAAACGATACCATCGTCTCTCAAATAGAATCTGCAACATGCGATTATCTTTCATAAACTGCAATATATCAACCATTTTTGTTAAGCTAATTTTTTTTTATTAATATTTCTTCTATTAAAGATGATATAATATAAACCTAATGATCGAATTATTTGTGACCTTGGTCGATTTTTATTAGAACATTAAAGAGAATATAATATTTTGTATGATGTATATTTTAATAAAAATGGAATTAAAAATATGCTATTTTTCAATCTAACCAATTATAATATAAATACAAACGCATTTCCTTTTTCGTCTTACTATAACAAAACCTAAATTTCAAATAATACTGTGTTCAAGATCACTTAATAAATTACAATCTATTTTTTGAATTACAATCAAGTTAATTGTATACAAAAAGGCTATTAATTAACAACTTCTTGTTTTCCATTAGAATTCTCTCATTCATACTACTACCAATAAAATAGGTAAATTTGAGAAAAATATATATTAATGTTTCTGAATTCCCATCTAGATATACTTATCTTTAACATTGATTTTTTTTTTAAAATACATTGTATTTTTTTTAATAAAAACGTGAATTATTATATAAGTTTGACCAACAAAATCAGAGAAAATATTGCAAGATTTATTTCATTTTCATAAAATAAGAATAAATATTATTGTAATTTGCAACAAAATGTACTAGCTCATAATTATGCTTAATTCTAGTTCAGAATATTTTAATTACCTTGCAATGCAAAAAGTAAGATCTATTAAGCTGCTTATGAAGGTTATTCTTTATTGTATGATATAATCTAGAATTATCAGGAATTAAATATTTAGAAACATATTACATCTTTGCGGAAAGTAAACTGTAACTATTGATTGGCATATCTTCGTTGAGTCAAGTGCAACTATTAATATTTTATTTTTATTATATTTGAATTTTATTATATTTTTTTTAAATAATTATTATCTTTATCATAATTATATTGTTTATGAGTGTTCTTATATTCTTATATGTGACATTAAATAAAAAATAAATTTGTGTATCTACGTGTGGCTCTTTATAAAATATATAAAACCGGATTGCGGCTCTCTTTGGCCTTATGTGTGCCCACCTTTGGCATATATAATCATTCATGGTCCAAATCTAATATGATTTGATTCTAATAGATCTGATGTGTAAATAAGGAATAAGTATATGTATTTCTATAATATAACGTTTATTACTTGATAGAAGTATATAATACTTTGTTAAAATCTTAAAAAATGTACATCTACTTCGGTATGGTATTATTAATGAGGGGTGTATAATAATTATTCCCGGTAACACTCACCTTTATTATAATATTGCATCATGTTTTACTAGTATGGAAGGTTTTAAACATAAAAATGCAGTACTTACATATTAATTACTCTATATTATTTCTATTAAATTATTAAAACATAATAAATAACAAATCTTTTATAAAAACAGATTATTACTTACTAGATCATTATATATTATTAAAATAAACTTGTAGAAATTATCCACAAAAATTGAAAATAAATTTCATTTCTCCGATCTATCAATTGACTTGAAATATTTGTCAATATTACAAATTTTAATTAACCATTACAGAAAAATAAAAAGTTATAATTTAATGTTTGTTTCAACACATATCGTAAATTCACTTAGATTTTTGTCTATTGCCGAACAAGCGGAGCATAGCACCATATATTGCTTTAATTCGTGTTTGATTTGAGACGCATTAAATAAGCAAAGCAAGTCACTGCATTCCATTTATGTGATATAATCGAGGATGTTAAATTCATTTGGAAAAAGTAAAATGTATTTGAAAATAAAATAAACACATTTTTATTTGTCATCCACGTGTCTTTGGATTTAAGTATATTTTTTTGAATTTCTTCAGTATTAACACTTTTACCTTTCAAAACGTTGGTGTACATAACACCATCATATAAATGCTATCATCATTTATGACTTTTTCTTAAATAAACATACCATGATTCTTTTCAGTATTTGCTTCTCCATAATAATTCATATAAATTTTGTACATTTTAAATTTAGTAATTTATTAAGAGAATAATAATGTTGATGATGATTAGTAATTAGTTACATCTGTAACTCAATCCAGTGCCGTCCTGTGCGTTTTGAGGCCCCCGGGCACCAACTCACACTGTTTGGGGGCCCCATCATTGACTAACTATTTGTTATTTGAAAATGCTTAATAGCAGTGATTCTCAAAGTGGAGATCAAAGTATATTTTTGCAATGTCTTCAGTATTAACACTATAGGTATCCCCTTTCAAACTTTGGTGTACAATTTCTCAAAGAAAACACCATCACTATCAGGTATGACTTTTTCTAAAATATTGACTAAAATTTATGTTTTAATAAAAATAAAATGAAATCAACTCCTCATATGAATGTTGATAAAATCTATATTCTACATGGTAACTTAAATAATTATGATATAAATTATATACATAAATATATATAGTTTCAACTTGAATTTTCATGTTCTAAAGATTGAGAATACATCAAACAACTGCAAACAACCTTACAATTACCTACAGATATTGGAATCCCAAGGCTCAATACTAAATCACAAAAATGCATGCATTAAACAAAATATGTTGGCTCGTTATACGTACAGCACAATTCCAAACATCTGTAAATAGAAAAATGACAGTAAAACAACAATATCCACGTTATTTCGAGATCATTTCAGAAATTAAAGTACATTCATTCAAAGTAGCCTAAAATTGAAGTATTGGTATTTTAATATTGAAAAATATTTTTACTTCTTATAATAAAGTTTGAATTATCAGAAAAAAAATAAAACAAAGTTATATTAAATTACTATAAACTAAGTTTAAGAATTAGATTAAAATGTTTAATACAATATATCAAATATAGTTTGCGTTTCAGCATACAATTAAGAAAGCAAAGTAGCATATATACTAAAGTTTCGAACCAAAATAGAGCCACCAGGCAAATATTAAAACTTGCAAAACTATTGCCTGAACTATTATAAACTTTATAGGATATTATCATAAAACTTATTCAGCTCAAACTGAAATATAAGATATAATAGAAAATTAAATTTTAATAACTACTAATTCAATCTAATGTAACAAAATTTAAAATATTTCCATGTATTTATTCCACCAGCAAAATGAGCTAAATATTTTTATGTATTTTTAACAGTAAATTTTTTAATATGTAATCTTTTATACCAATGACAAATAAGATTTCTTAGACACGGATATTTAAAAATAATTATTTATTAGAATGATCTAGAATCTATATTCTAGAAGACCAACGCATTGAAGCTGAATGATAATGAGATGTTTCTTTATATGAAGCTGTAAAAATGACAAAGAACATAATTTGAGGAATAAAAAACACAATTTATTTAACAACAATGTATATATATATATTTATAATTTATAACATTCGCCTTTTATATGCATATAAATTATCATGGTCATAGTAAGTGTGTATCAATTTATACATGTGCTGGAAAAAATATAATAAATTATCATATTGTCCGCTATACGCCCTCTGAGAATTGGAAACCAACTTCTGGTATTTTTCTAAACTATTCTCCGTGAAACAGCAATTTAATCCCGCATAATCTGCTTTATAACCCCATGCATTCAAATGCACTTCCACAACAAACTGGTGTATTGCCTCAACAGTGGCCAAATACCACCTAGGACTGCCCTTCTGGTGCCTCCAAAACTGCGAAATCCTATTTTGCAGCACCACACAGGGCAGCTTTCTTATCCTCTCATCCTTGTAAATTCCTTTACTTTGATTCCAAGTGCTATCAATAAACACAGCTTTAGTAATTGGCAGTTCAGTAGATTCAACAAAATTAATATCACAATCATTTTTACTGTAGGAAGCAGGTATACTTGTTAGCAAAGTTGTTTTGTGAATTCCCTTTGGGCATTCATAATCAAAATCTGATTGGATTTGATTCAAATCAGATTTTGTATTTTCAAACAACTGTGGAATTTCCAAAGCTGTGTGGCTTGGAAATATTAACACAACCTTCTCATTATCATAACTTGGTATATCTGGATAGGTGTATACCCTGATGTCTTCCTGAGCTAAAATAGCTGCATGAGCAGCAGTACTTTTGCCATCAATTTCTCTCTTATGTTTTATTATATCCACTTTTATTGGCAACTAAAATATGAAAATTATTATTCTATTGAGGCAAATAAATCGACATAATTACTTTAACTTTAGGGATTGTCTTTTCTAGTTCTGGATGTGGCGTGAAGCAAGTGTAGCAAAAGAACTTCCTCGACTTGAAGCAATTCCCACAGATATATCGACCATTGATAGTGTCTAAGATGGAATTGTCCGCAATGTCCATGCTTTGAAAGGGATTCTGCAATAGTGATTTAGCGTCATCGCTGTTAGGGTGCGTCATTTCATAAAATAATATAATTAATACAACTTAAATGAAATAAAGGTTAACAAAATAAAATAGGTTAAGTTTACAACTATGACATATGCGTGTTTGCAACCGTACATGCAACTTTGCATTTTTAAAAGAATATATACTAAAGTCAAGTTAGAAATCATATTAGAATTAAAACTTGAATCTTATAATAAAATATAATTGTAAAATGTAATGCTTTGAATAAATATTACGGAATATAATTTTAAATTGAAATATAAATTATATTTATGTTTAAATGAGAAAAATAAGAAAAACTGAACTTGGGTGACTGGCGCCTCGGTAATTCTAATTTGACAGTTGTCCAAATCCTTGCAAGTCAATTCAAGTACACGTCAGTTTTTTCAGACAAGTTAGCGCTTTAATTCAGCGTTGTCTGTTTTGCACACTTTATAATTAAAACGACAATGTTCGAGAAACGCATTTCCTTTAAACACGCGAAAATATGAAGTGTAGATTGCAGAGAGTCCTGAAAGTGTTTTTCCTCAGTCCATTGTTTTGGGCAATGTAAGTAAAGTTTATTTCAAAAATCATAAATTAAACACTAATCTGGGATATATTTTACCATCATCTGTTTCAGTTTCATTTTATTGTTCTCCAGCTCTAATCTGCAACAGAATGTGTCCTCTGACTATAAAGCAGACAGAGAGGAGGCTGTTGTGAGAAACAGTAGTGACATTGTCAATGTGAATAGTGAACAGTTTAGCAGTGAAGATGTGGTACAGGCAAGTTTCGAGGAGCCCACAGGCACTCCCGACTCTGACTTCACTCATCAGCCCTTCTCTGAATTGGCATCACAAAATTCTGGATTATCAAATGGGTCAGTACTGATTTTATTTCATACCACTTATCTCATTTCATTCGCAATAAAATTACCTAAATCTATTATATCAAATCCTGATAATCAATCAATTGTATTATTTTTTAACTATAAAGATAATCAATTATGTATTTATAATGGACAATAATTTTTGTACCAAAATATTTCAACCAAAGATCTAGAACATAGGTTATTAGTTTTAATAAGATTTTTTTTCTGTTTTAGACTAAATGATGGAAAGAAACAAATAATAGAACTATTTCTTTAAAAAATAATTTGCTAATTGAGATTGAATCTGTATTATACATACCATATAAATTAATTACTTCCATTGATTTAAGATCATATATGAATTCAGATTATTATTATTGATTATATTAATATATATGCTAAGAAAGTAGAAGTTTGTAGAAAACGAAATAAAGCTATTAATTATCAACTTGATTGAGCAAACTAAACAAGATTAAATTCCTATACTTTATTAATTAGTGCAGAACGCTAATGCGTAGGATACATATTGTGGAATATTTATAGAAACAGTTTAGAATGCACTTTCCATTTATCACATTACAAATTAGTTTACGTCTCTCCAGAGGGGAAGAACAGAATCCATTCACTAAAAACATGAGATAAACTTAATCAGTGTACGTTTTTAATGATGGGATTTTCTATTCGCGCGGGGAAAGTCGCTGGTGATAAAATATTGGCATTAACAGTTCCTTTTATTGCGGCTGTTTAAATATTTCATTCTTTCATTTTGAATGTCCGAAGAAAGTTGGCATCAATTTCTATCAAAGATAATTCTAATTTTGTGACGGAGAAACTCGCGCCGTGCACAACATCGAACATTGAAAACAGATGATTGAATAAACGAAATGCAACCTTGATGCATTTCCTATTATGATTGCTGGTGCTTTTCATTTCATTTTGCAACGGGTGTAAATTAGTTTATCGTATTGTTGTTTCGGGGGCTTACATAAGGCGAATAATTAGCGTGGAACGTGCTTCGGTCTTTGGATAAATAAACCGTACATACATGGTTGTCGTTTAACTGTTGTTCTTGTATCGAGTATGCATACGGGCGAGATTGATATTCATTGAGTTTCAAGTAATCTGACCCAGATGCTGTGGAAATTTAAGATTTTGTATTTGTGCGTGCGGGTAAACAGGCAAGGCAAGCGTGCACATAAATCAGGTCCGATCTCTACTAAACTTTCTCGCCTTGTCCCGTAGGGGAGTGAAACCTTGCTTGAGCATTTCCTTTCCCTGGACATAGCAGATCATGAGGAGATAGATGGAAAAGAACTCGTGGCTATCTAATCTCGTTTCTGCGTGATTTTTCTTTTTCTCAATCGCCAGAAATCGATTCAGCACATTTCACCACTTGGCAACACAATTGGAACTTCCATTTGCCGCTATCATTGTTTCGACGAATTTCAAGTTGCACATGTATTATTTAGTTGTTAAATATTTTAGGTGACCTTGGTGTTTTGTTCAACAGTTTATCAAATTCGTGCACTAGGTGTGCGTTCACATCATTAATTATTCATAGTTACTATCAGGACATAGAGAGATAAAAAGAAAAAAAATAGAAAAACATTAATTTAAAATGATGCAATTAAAAAATATTTTGTCTTGCCCTTGTTGATAACTATCCATCAAAAATGATTACGTAAATGTGGCCACATGTTACAACGCTTTCAATTGCTGCTAGTACAGAAATACGATTTACAAATCCTAAGTAAAGTTGCTTCGTCCAAAATTCATTATGTAACGATTAGAAAATCTATACAAATCCAAAGTATGCCTCTCAGATTATCATCTTCCACATCGGAACACTACATATTCGCTTTATTGTCTAGCTATTGCCGATAACAGTGAATTTGGTTACAGTTACCAATATGTAATTTACATATTTTTGTAATGAATTATTCATTAGTAGTATGACAAAAAAATATTTCAATAAAATTGAAAAATCAATTGACCTTGAATTATTTATTATAAATATATTAATATATAGTGCGAATTGAATAAGAAAAACCATACTGAAGTTATTATGAATGTCTATTGTTCAGACGTTATATAACGTTGCAGGTGACAAAAGTTCATCAATTTGCGACGTTTGCTCGGTGATTGAACCATGCATACAATACAATCAAGATTTGCGTGGCATTATATAAATTTAAATGATATGTTACGCACAATTGCGTTGATTATACTGGCAGTGCATAGCGTCCTACCACATCCTTATTAACAATACATTTAGATTCTTAGTAACTGAAAACTTGGTTTAATAACAGTTATAAGCTGTACTGATTATCATTAAAAAAGTAAAATATTTATTTAATAATAATAAACAAGTTTAAATTTATTTATTTTCTTAAAGATATTCAATATGGCGAATGTTGCAAATATTAAGTTATCGGCGGAAATAGTTCGGGCAATAACCTAATGATGTAAACAAGTTTATCATCAGAGAGTTATCTCTCATTGTCTCAATTTAATTATTTATGAAGTTACCAATTAACAGGCGACATTTACATATTACGAAAATGAGAAACATACTTTGGGTTACTTTTAGTCTCATATTTTTATATATAATACAATAAGAAAAGAGCAATAAATAAATATTTAGTAGCTTGGGATTTTTTACTAATGAATATATGAACCATATAAAAATATATGTTTAACCATCATATTTAGTTATAAAGATTATAAAAGTACGAAGTATTCTTATTAAAATAGATTTTTTGATTTTGACATACGTTTTTTTCTTAAAGCAAAGCAGACAGGTCCGTTCTTTTTTAATAATAGTAATGCATGTATGTTCCAAAATAATTATTAGTGGTATTCAACTAAGTTACAAAAATGTGTCAATAACAAAAACAATTTCAATTATTACATGAAATATTTCATTGTTTTATAAATACGTCATACATCTGAATAAGTAAATATACGCATAGTAACATTTTTCCCATAACATAATGAGTGTAAACGTTCAAAGTTCATATGTGTAGCGTATATTTTAAAAAGTACGTTTGATAAAGTTTTTTTGAAGTAAATAATTATATTATCTATTATTATGTTAGAAATATTTATTGTTTCTTTGTATATATTTATGGTTTTGCATCATTACAATTCGGCAACATGTAATTAGCAATCAATAATAAATATAAATAAGTTGTTGAAAACAATTGTACAGACGTCACTACCTGTTTTTTTTTGCATATTTAACTTTCGCGATGTAAAATTGAAATATTTATTTATGATATATAAATAATTAGTATATCTTTTAAAAGTACTCATCTGTGCAAATAAAACTATTTACTTTATACTACATTAAAGACTTAAAATGACACAGTCATTAGAGTATATACAGTTGCAAACATAGTAATAATATGATTTAACTATATTAGATAAGTACATGTTTGTACTATGATAAGACATGAATTTATTAAGTAGCCAAGAATACCGATCTCTAATACTATTTTACAATTTAATTTTTTTTTAAATATCTACAGGGCAGAAAGACCTATCTATGACCAATAACCATTTATATCAGTTGTCTTATTTTTTGAAATTATATACATTTATTTTGTTTTATTACTGCATATGTATTTTTTTTTGAACGACTGATGCAATAAACATTATTATTATTATTTATCTACAATTAATTAGTACTAACTCTACCTGCACCTAAAATATAGATTATAAGAGCAGTTTTATTAATGTCACAAGTTCATGACTATAACAAATGTTTTTTCAGCACATTACAGAGACATTCTGTAGGAGGTCGATGTTTGCTAGGAATGTATATTGAATATTTTTTATTCATACTTTATGTGAGACAATATTCGTATATTTGTGGAATATATTTCCAACTTTTATAAAGATTTACCTCAACCTCATCTGTATCCCTTAATTTTATTTTTTTTAAGTATCTACTAATATTATTTTGTTGCTGTATCGAAATAATTGTAGACGACATGAAAAATGAAGATAATGTAACGGATTCATATTTATAATATTAATTTATTGCGATTTTTAAAAATAAATGACGCGAGTATTTTAAAATACCGCGTCGCACGTAAATAGGTTTAATAATAATTTCTCGCATTCAAATTGTTCTAAAAATAAAACGTTTCTTCCTAAGAGAAATGTGTGTCGACATTCAATATATCCCACGTCTAATTATGTTGAATTCAAATACGCTACGCAAAACAGATTAATGTGTAATCTAATCTGGTCTTTTAAATATGAATGAAAACATGTTTATTATTCTTTTGGAATTATATAAATCGAACGAAAATATACTTAAAGTGGCATTGTATACAAAAATAGTCCAGAACGGAACAACTACATGCGTGAATGTATCTGAAGAGCTTTTCAATACCATTCGCGCGCGGCTGCGGCGGGGCACACATTTCCACTTCATTTTGAACTGAGAATCGATCAAAATCGGAAGCAACGATTCCGATATGACTACTGATTTTTATCGTACAAATACCAGACGAATATTAATAATTATTTATCTTGCGTATTTGTCAAGTTACAAAATCAGGTGATTTAAAGATTCATATACACGTATTAGATAACATTATTTACTATTATTATCCGCAATAAGGTTTCTAATCTAATTAAAAACTGAAATCCTTTATTTAAAATCTGATTATTAAATTACACCTTTTTTATTATTTTCTAGGTTCGCGGAGACTGGACACGGAATAGCTGTAACTGTTGTCGATTCCGCCAATGCGGAGATACAAAATCAAGCGGACTTGGCTAGCAGTCAGAATGAACAGGAACAGAAGCAAAATACCACTACTATTGACGAAAATGCACCATACACAACCGAAGAACCAATTTTCACGGAAGACTCACCAACGTTGAATAGATCTGAAGATGTGCCGAGCGAGACTCAAGAATCGGAAAAACTGGACGTGCCTAAGGAAAATTTAACCGAAGAAATTCCATCGTTCTCCGAGTGGACGCAGAAGCAACTTGAAGAGGCGGAAAAGAAGCGGGAAGAAGTAAACTCTTCCGCGCACAGTCCCAATTGGAACGGCAAGAATTCCAGTGTTTTGAAGGTGCGCTCAAAAAATTACGCATCGCCCGATTGCGGTGCAAAAATCGTCGCAGCAAATCCAGAGGCTGTGAGCCCAAGTGCAGTGCTCAGTCCATCTAGGGACGAGTATAATTTAAATACTTGTTCGAGCCGCATTTGGTTCATCGTAGAGCTGTGCGAAGCCATCCAAGCCAAGAAGATTGATCTGGCCAATTTTGAATTATTCTCGTCGACGCCGAAAGATTTTAGTGTATATGTTAGCGATCGCTTTCCCAGTAGAGATTGGTCCAATGTGGGTCAGTTCACCGCGAAAGACGAAAGGGATTTGCAGAGCTTCGAATTGAATCCGCATCTATTTGGAAAATATATTAAAGTGGAGTTGCATTCGCATTACGGCTCCGAGCACTTCTGTCCGGTATCCCTGTTCAGGGTATATGGGACTTCGGAATTCGAGGTGCTGGAGAAAGAAGGCGCGGTTCACGAGGACGATGACGACGATGATTTGGATTTCGAAAGTGGAAAGGGCGGAGGTGTACCTAAAAATCTGTTCACTTCAGCAACTGATGCAGTTATTTCAATAGTCAAGAAAGCCGCAGAAGTATTGGGAAACAATAAAGGGAACGTTACCAATGAGACAGCAAGTAGTGACAATAATAATGTGGTTGTCGAATATACGCCACTGATAAGTACTTGCACAACGCCAGGCTATTTAGTTGTTTGTAAGGAGTGCAGTGACCTCTTGTTCGGAAAAGTTTTTGGATTGTTGAGTTGCGAGAGTGTCGCAATCGGCGAATTAACTCAGCATGGCGGTATGATCCACAATATATTATACGGTGCTGGCCTATGTTTAGATTTCGGATTGGATTTTAATGGAAGTCTGGTGAGCACGGACGTATCGAAAGCTTCCTATGTTAGGGCTATATTTCCCGACCATTATTTGGCTGCGCTATGCAACATCGTTGGTATTATGGAAAACAAACTTGGGTTGAACGTAAGTAATACGACAAGCAAAGAACCAATCGCAGAGTTTAATAGTACGGACGAGGAGATTGTTACTGAGAAAACTGTGGAAATAGAATCGACGGAAACCGGTAAAATTGTTTCAACTATAAATGATGCAGTAATAAGTAATATTTCAAACGGCGGCGAAATCAAACCCACAAAAACCCTGGACCCGGAGGAAGACCTGATAGAAGTGACTCACCATTTAGAAGCTAACACTTCCTTGCCGGAATACCATAATGAAACCAAAGATGAGGTCCTCCAGGACATCGGAAGCGGCGAGAATTTAATAGAGGACGAAAGCGGGGAAAACCTGGAATTAGAAAACTTCTCCGACAGTGCAACGCCATCACCACCGCAAGTTAAGGAATCCGTATTTCTCAGACTGTCCAACAGGATCAAATCTCTCGAAAGGAACGTCTCGCTGTCTAGTCAATATTTAGAAGAACTTAGTAGAAGATACAAGAAGCAAGTCGAGGAAATGCAGCGGTTTCTCGAGAAAACGCTTGCCACTTTAAACGATGAAATTAAAAAAAAAGATGAGAGTAATAAAAGATTGGAAAATAAGCTGCAGCAATTATCGGAAGCGGTTGAAGCTCTGATCGCCGACAAAGAAGGCTCGTTTAGTTTCGTCCATATTATCGTATTTTTTGTGATTTTTATGATTGGGTTTCTCAGCTTTTGCCGCCGTGGCGAACATAGTAAACATTCCCATTCAGATGAAATTAGCATTGAGATGCAACGTCGCAAATCTATTGACGTAATCAATCATAATACACCTGCAAAGAAGCAGAGACGGCCTAGCGAGGAGGCACTGAAGATTAGTGGCACGTACGAACATCTTCTGGTTGATGATATTGAACTGCGCAGAAAAATTAAGGACAGAAAACGCAAAAAGAAAAGACTTCAGCGGTCAAACTCAATAACTACACTGAATGAAGAGAGCGTGGTACATCATAAGAAGTCTACATCGTCAGAGAGCGCAATCATAAGTTGTATAAGGCAGGACTGCTCAGACTGGCCTACTATAACAACAATTGGAATCGAGGAAATTCCTTTAGTTTTGGAAGAATGCGATAATAGTCCTCTGCAGGACATGCCCTTACCTCAGCCTTTGCAAGATCCTGATGTAATATCCACTAATGGGGACCTGCAGAAATATCGGAAGATATCCACACCAGAATATCTGAAGACTGCAGTGGAAATCAGAAAGAGCAGAAGATTCAGTCCAAATGGATCAAAACAAGAACACAGAAAGTCTGCAAGCATGGATGAAACCAAGAGACAAAAAAGCCCAGCTCCTAGTGATGCTAGCCTGAGCATAAGTTACGACGAGCCTAAAATTACTCCACCAAAGAAAGAGAAGAGAGGCACTTTAAAAAAAATATTCAAGAAAGTATTTTGATCTGATTTTAAAAACGACAAAGTGAACGTATTAAAATAGGCTCCGAGAGTATTCTATTCACACCCACCAACATGAATTCTATTTTAATTTTTTACACCGAAAATAAACTATCCGTTACCTATCTTTTCCTAATGGGCAGATACAGGCATTGACTTATATCCCACAAGAAATGAAAATACAATTTTTTCATTCAAACATGTAGACGTTAATATTAAGCAATGGATACTTTATATATAAATGTAATTATTCACATGCTTCTTTTACATTTAACTTAACTGTTTTCTTTTCCCTTTTATTTTTATTATACTGCAATTGTGTTCCGATATTTACTTGAGAAAAAAGATATTCCTAATTGATATATGCTGTGATAAATCTTTAGGTTTAATGTGATTCGATTGTTTTGTTATGTTTTTTCGTTCGCGAAAACTTAAAGTTTTCGATATTACATTAAAGACACATTTTGTTTTGTTTTGGACATTTATGCTTTTATCCAAGATGTATGTGTGTATATGTTATATATAGGACGTTTAATTTTTAAGTTTATAAACTTCAAATTCTTGTCATAATTTATAAATGTATGAATAATGTAATAAATGTAACTAAATGTGTATCTAAATAAATGAGATGATAATCTATTAGTGGGATATATTCAGATAGGAATTTGATATTCTTTGCTAATTTTTCTTTTCACATTTAAAATTAAATTTATTTAAATATTACAACACAGCAAAGTTAAATTTTAAATTAAAGACATATAATTATCCTTTTAAATTCACAGCATAAAAATAATTATATAATAAGTTAACACACAATGATTAATTAATTTGTTCTATAATATTAAAAAAAAAAATTTGTTCAATTAGAATACTGGATGGAGGAGAAACCCTTATTGAATTATCCAAAAATATATACACTTAGTAAATATGTTTTGCCTACTATCTATATACATTCAAATATGATAATTTTGGAATATTAGATACTTTGTGATACATTTGTGATTAAGTCTTGTATTTTTAATATAGAATTATGCCACAGGGGCGAATTAAATTATATACTTAAGATTAGTAGTCTTAATTTGAAGACTTGTTTGAAGAGGGAACATTTCCTTTGTATAGTAAACCTTTTGTACCTTGAAATACCCGCCAATTAAAGGTTCCATTTGAGTTTCTGCTGAACATCAATTATAGCAAAGACTGTTCCAGCATTATTTTATCGAATCCTCCCGGCGGGGCGATATTAAAGTTGTCAAGAATTATATCCAATATTGCACCATCATCCACTGCAAACAAATTGATATAATTCTTATGTATTGATTTTATAATATAGAATTTGGTTAAGCATGTTCAGAATGTAGACAATTGAAACTGATTTTGTTGCATTAATATTAAAGCTTATAGTGGTCTTACCATAAAGTGCAGGATAGACAGTTCCTTTAACATTGGTAACTGGAAACTCCAACTCAGAACCATTCAAATAAAACTTCAATTGAATGTGATCATAGGATACACTTATTATATCACCTTCTTGTGGGGCTAGTGGAGTAGCATTAGTACCATTTGCTACAATATTGGTTGCAGTACCTATTCTATATATTTCTTGTTTATTATGCCTTATTACATTATCACTACACAAAGCCCAGGAGTATTCATCATTTCCACCTGTAAATAGAAATTAGTCTATAAGTTATATTTTGATTCATTATGACAAACCCTGGGTTAGACTTAAATCTGTCTGTCTTGTAGCTAAGCCAATTGACCAAGAACCCCCTTGTTGTATTTTAACCTCAAAATAACTTTTTGACTGTACCAATGGGGCATTGCCTAGAGCCGCCCCAGCACCACATAAACGATGACCCGATTTAACGATTACAACTTCGTATCCTGAAAGAAGAAAAAACAAAGTTTAAAACAATAAAAAATATAAATACCAAAGTATATTACCCAAAAAAGCAGTATCCAAATGTATTGGATTTTCTTTAGCTGCGTGTGGTGCATGGGACGATATTCTATAAACATTTAAACCGTCCAAGCAGCTCCGAAAACAAGAAAACATCGAAACAGATGTCATCTTCGCTGATTATAAAAGTAACCTGCTTACAAGTAACGAATATGTTTACGATTTTGACAGTAACCTAACCTTACAAGAATATAGTTTTTTCACTTTTCATTCAACTGCAATTGTTTTTCTTGCGCTCAGTGAAAATGATTGCAGCTGGTTTTATTAGAAATAGAGGACTTAGTTTGCTAAATAATCGTTACTACTGCAGTAGGAAAGTGAGAGTTCGGTTTGCTCCAAGTCCCACAGGTTAGTGCGCTTTTTGAAAAACAAATTAACAATTTGCCATTAATTTATGCATTCTGCATTTAAAAATGTATTAAAATGCGCAAATTTAGCTAATTTTTCAATAATGGATTTAACAAAGTTAATTTCATATGCTACTTTGGTTGCCAACAATTTGTTTTATTTAGCAAATGCAGAACAAAATGTATACTATTCTATATAAATGTTATGTATGATTTTTGTATATACAGTGAAACATATTCAAAAATAAACATAATATGTCTCTTCTCGTCGTCATTCGTTATGTGAAACGTCGCTCGTTAAGCGAATCATTTTTCTTACAATTTATTTTGCTCGTTATGCGAGGTTCCACTGTAGCTTTGTATGTCAATGTTTTAATTCTTAAAATTATCTTATTGTACATGTGTTATGTTGCTATATTGTATAAGTAAAATAAAAAATGCTTAAGGACAATTTTCTTTTAAAAATCAATGGAACCTTGCTTAACGAGAACCTCTCATATCGAGTAATTCGCATAACGAGCAAAACAAATTGTAACAAAAATGATTCACTTAACGAATGACTAGGAGAATGACTTCCCGAAACATGTCCCATGATCTAATTCACAATTGTTTTTAGACAAAGGATATGTATTCTGTAAAAAAAAAACCTATCTTTGCAGAATACATACATATATAAATTTTCTTGCAAATTTCTTAACATTTAATGTTTTCAGGTCATTTACATTTAGGTGGACTCCGCACGGCGCTCTACAATTATTTGTTTGCCAAATTGCACAAAGGTTCTTTTATCTTAAGGATCGAGGATACTGATCAGACTAGATTAGTGCCTGGTGCAACAGAGCGTCTTCAAGAGGATTTAAAGTGGAGCGGAATAAAAATCGACGAAGGTCCAGATATTGGTGGCAGTTTGGGACCTTACATTCAATCGCATCGAGTAAAATTATACAAGTATAATATACTTTTAATATTGCTTAAAATATATTACCTTTTTTTTGTTTTGTATTTAGTGAACAGGTAAAGGTACTACTGAACAATGGGTCAGCCTATCAATGCTTTTGCACTGATAAGCGTTTGGATTTGCTCAGGAAAGAAGCAGTTCGCATGAGGCAAGTGCCAAAGTACGATAACAGATGTAGGCATTTAAGTCAGGAAGAAATAAATTTAAGATTGGAAAGAGGAGATCGACATTGTATTCGATTTAAAGTAATAGAAAGATTATATTAATTAAACAGTAATAAAAAATATTTTTAATTAGTTGCAAACAGGCTGCGACACTTTTGAAGATTTGATCTATGGTAATATAGCTTACGATGTAGCTTTACAAGAAGGCGATCCTGTTATCATGAAATCAGACGGTTTTCCAACATACCATTTCGCTAATGTAGTTGACGATCATTTTATGCAGATATCGCACGTTCTTCGTGGAATGGAATGGCAGATTTCAACGACCAAACACATCTTGTTATACAGGTATGATCTATAACATTTATCTAATTAGATAATGGTAATTTAAAAAATCTACAGGGCATTTAATTGGGAACCGCCTAAATATGGTCACTTACCTTTACTCTTGAACGCTGATGGAACTAAATTAAGTAAACGACAAGGCGATATCAAAGTTTCTCATTATCGCGAAACTGGTATCCTGCCAATGGCTTTAATTAATTTCATTACTAACAGTGGTGGAGGTTTCGATAAAGACAAAGAAAGAGGTCTTAAACCGAAATGTTACACCATGATGGAACTAGCTCAACAGGTATATTATTCATAGAAAAAATTACAAGACCCAAGCAAAATATATAACATTGCAGTTTGATGTGGAAGAGATCAATTCGCATTCAGGAAAACTTATGCCTGAAAGGTTACTGGAGTTTAATAATTTAGAAATTGAACGGCAATTAGGAATGGAGGACACAAAAAAAAAGTTGATTGATCAAGTGAGGGAAATCGTGAAGGCTAAATTTCCGAAACACGACGAATCTACATTGCAAATCCGCGACGAGCACATCGAAACTATACTGAAATGGTCTATTAATAGAATTGATAGACTAACGGATTTAGTTTCAAGAGATTTAATGTTTCTTTGGGTAACACCTGAGCTGAAGCATTTACACTCTGTCGATGAGAAACAGAGAAATGCCATTGAGAAATTGAACGCGAGTTTTGAAAATAATTGGAAAGCGGAAAAGCAAGAAGTCAATAACTACCTGAAAGACTTTGCCAAAGAGAATGGTATTGCATTTAGCAACTTCATGAAATTATTAAGGACCATTTTGAGTGGTTTAAAGGTAAGTAAGTGTTACGTGGTCACATGATTTTTAAGGCTATTTCTCTTATGCATTTAGGAGGGACCAAGTGTAGCGGAGATGATCGAGATTTTGGGCAAGGACAACACTAGGAACAGGATAGACTTGTTTTTAAGTAAGAGTAAATAAATAGAATATAAATTTATTATAAACAAATTTTATTGATAAAATATCTCTATATATTACAATTTCTTGTACACAAAACTACAAATGAGTGTTAACAAAAAAAAGAAATAAAACAAAATGGAAGAGTATTCATCTTTACATAAAAAAATATATTAAAAATGCTAAAAGTAATTCAGTCTAATCGCAGATATACCAAGAAAAAAATAATACACAGTACATTTTTTTTTTTTGTATTTCACCCTATTGCAGATCTAATTGTCAATAATATATCATAAGGAATAGGACATACTACCAAAGACTCATTTTGTTTTGCCAAAACTACTAAATTCCATCTTATCTTTTTTTTTGTAATAATCTCTTGTGCCTCTTTTACCCCAACATCCTTTCGTTGCAATAGTTACAAATTAATTAAAATCAACTCGGTTTCAATTCAACAACAATTATGTGATATGGCAGTTGTTACATTATGTTATACAACTATCTTATATGATTGTTATAAGTACCTCGATCGTTAATCAAGAACAAATATAAATTAAAACTAAAACCAAACGTCAGTAAAATTTAGTACAAAGAAAACGAAAAATCATATAATTATATTAACAAATACTAGTTCTTTTAACCCACTTCAAAAATATTCAATAATTAATAAACCCTGTGCGATATCAATTGTTCGTTTAAAATATTTCGAATCCGAAATGCATTTGTTTTATAAAAGTTGGTTGAGTTGATTCGTATTCCTTGCATTTGCGTAAATGCAAGACATATCTATTTAAATTCACCAATACAATGCAAATCGCTTTGTGCCATCAGTGTAGAATCAGAAATCAATAAACGTTTGCTTTGTAGATTCAAAAATAAATTATTCCGTGCTTATGAGCATTTGTAGAACATGGTTTCACTTTAACAATATACAACATATTTAAATGAGAATCTAAAGTTAGAACACAAAGTAGGATTAAATTACTCAACGTCGGTAATGCTCGACAGAAATGAAATGCAGAAGCGGAAGTAAAATTCAGTCGTGTTATTCTGTTTAAAAAAAATCCAAAGCAGGAAGACCTATCAGATTTTCATCTCAGATCATTGTTAATCTAAACAAGTAGTGAATACAATATATTTATTATTGGTGTTACTATTTAATAATTACGTATTATTATCGTTCATTAAAATATAATCTTGATTTTTTTTCTCTCTTTTAGATATAATGCAATAACAATATATTATAGGCCGCTTAATATTTGGCCTTGTGGTATACAAGTGTTTGATACAAGTTTAACAAGTTTATAGTAATATTGTAAAATATGTTTTAAGCCAATCAGTGGAATTACACAGGAACTGTACAGCCAATGTCGATTGGTACAGTACACATGTGCTATAAAATGCATATACATATACTGATTAATTTTTCTAGACACGTGATAATGAAGAAGTTTCAAATACTTCGAGATATTAATAATATGAAAAGTTTTTTAATTGAACATAAAATGAATCAATCTAGGGCGGTGAGAACTATTAGAAACAAACATTTATCAAAAAAACGTTATATATATATATACTATATAACCCTAGATATCACAGTTATATTGTTTTGAAGTAAAATTAAACAATTCCTCAAAGCATTGAAATCACTCTTTATCACCGCCTAGTGCAGAATAATACAAAAACTTTTTTGTCTAAAACTTAGAAACAAATCTAAAAGTTTCTAAATATTATTCGTCTTAAAACTAAAATTTTTCTTTGGTATATTAACGCATATAAGATCTCCCTTTACATAGTAAAAGATAATAATGATAGCTTTGTTGTTCGATATGTCCATAATAAAACAAAAATCGGTCAAACTCGGTAGAAGTGAGTTTGACCGTAATTAATAAAGTCCAACGCAAAATGATAGTTTAGTAATGAGTGTACAATAATCAATTCTCGCGTTTCATTTGCAACAATTCAGTAGTTGGATCCACGTGCAATCACATTAAAATATATAATTATCTTAAACAGACTAAATAAATAAGTTACCAAATAAAAATCTCTTCTTAAAAATGACTAATATGTACAAGTAAAAATTATATCATCATGGCCATTTAACATGTGAAACGAAAATTGAGCCAACGTTACTTCAAATAATTCATATAGAAAAATATATCTTTTCTTTGAATGTTGAACTTAAGCAACCAGTGTCTTTTCGCGTGAATGGGCGTCTTACATACTGTGTCAGACTGGATTCGAGGTAATATCGTCGTCTAGCTTATCCCAGTCGAATTCCGTGACGCCGAACTTTCCGGGAATCTCACCCAAGTGGCTAAACCTCTGCTCGAATTTTGAATCTCGCGCTTTCAATCGGTGGAAACGCTCGAAAAGCAATTGCTTCGCGAATTGATATAGCTCATTGTCCAAGTCGTTAAGATGCGCTATTTTGGTGGCCTGTTCTGCACTCAGTGTGGGCATTGTGTGACTGGAAACAGTAGCGTTATTTTGTTCGAAGGGTATAGCAAATCGCAAATTGAATGTCTCTTCGAATATGTATTGAGAGATCTTTTGGTATTCGGTCAATCCGAAGAAAGCCATCGATTGAAGATTCTTTTTGGCACTGGCCAACATCACACGGTTTCTATCCGCCTCCGGCATGTAATCCTTGTTATAGCAACCTACTAGCTCTAAATCAGCAAGCATCCTGGTCTGGCGATTTATGGCCAGGTTCGAATCGCAATTCATAAAATCGTCCAGCTCCACATTGTCCCAAGACTCACTTTTATAACATGCAGGTAATTCAACTTCCGTTGCCGCTCTGTTGTGGCAAAAATGCCGGCTTCCCTTCCATGTGGCTCCTCGTTGCACATGTCGAAACTCGGACAGATATCTAGCTAACGGCTGTCTCAATAACGTTATGTAAAAATATCGTCTTTTGGCAATGTGACCTTCCAACTCGTCCAATTTAGCATCCACACAATTCGTGAGCTCCGTCCAATCCGCATGCAAGCCACACTTCCAACCTGTAGTATACCTACTGAACAGCCAGCTTTGATTGGAATGTGGCCGGAAACAGTAACATCTTTTCGGAGTTATCGGACACGTGCATGGCCTCTGTAAATCCAAATCGTGCACCAGGTGTTTTCCGAACGAAGTTCCACCTAACACAACAAACGATTGTCCATTATCGTTTTCAACTTACGGATTTAATACATTGAACAAGGTTAAGTTCAATCTCAAACTTTACCTGTTTTTTGCATATGCAGAAAGACCATGACATCGTGCGAATCCATATCGAAGGCAAAATCATCGTTAAGCATGTCGTCGTAACTCAAGCCAGTCTTGCTGTTCGTGGCTGATAGTGGTTTACCCATGCCATCATTGACTGCAGTGACTTGTGACGAATCGAATCGGACTGCATCCCTGTTGCTCAATGCACAGACCTGCAAGCACAATGCATTTACAACAACAAGAACTAACCAAAAACACGCGACGCGTCCGTCTAAATCCATCTTACTTAATGCTACTGAAAACGAAAATACTAAATTCAAAAACATTTTAATCTACTTCCAAGGAAACCATGATAAACTTCAATCTAATTTCAAACACTTTTGCACAGTACAAAGTCCGACCTGAATTAAGTGGACAATTTCTAAATAAAATTAAAGCACTGCTGCAAAATTACTCTTCAGCCATTTCATCCAATTTACGACTCAATTGAATCACTTGATTTACACTAATTCAAATCAAAATAATGATAAAAACAATTGGAATAATTGCATTATGTATTCCCGTCACCATCAAAACACTAGAACTAATTTTACTTTTAATAATACTTAATATAAGTTTTATATATCCCACATTATTTTTAATTCAGTCAATAACAAAATTTGCTTCTTAAAAAAGTTTGACTCTATTAGAAACAATTATACTATAAATATCAAATAAAAATATCGGTTCAGCAATACCACGCTTAGTGAGGTCAATATCCCGTACTATTTCAAATCAAACTAATCGGGGAAACGTACAAAAATAAACAAAGAAACTATAGGAAAAAATCGATCATTTATGTATACACAAATAATTTTGTGTACTATTTTTTTTAGAATTATTTTTAAATAATAATAAAATTTGTTGCATCAAATTACCATAATACGAACTCAACAAAATAACATAATGTTAATACTAAATTGATTCGTTGTTTATTTTACACAATTAAAATTTAGTTTGGTTTAAAACTCAAACTGCTTTATATTATTATATTAAATTAATCAAAAAATATGTTGACAAAATGTATAGAAAACATATATTGAAAAAAATAGCTATGTTTTCGAAATCAGGGAACAATAATATCCATACCTATACAAATAATTAATTAATAATTTATTTCATTCTGCATAATATAATCTAATCAAGTTACAGTTTTATAATCAGAGTAATTAACCTTTTCACCCCAATATCATTTATTATGATTATTTAAAAAACAAAAATGCTATCAGCTTTGATAAATGCATGACAAGATAATTCTAAATTCCTGCAGATTCCTGTGATTTAAATTCCTGCAGCTATTTTAAATGCAAAGTATGTTTGGTAGACTACATGCAATTGTGCAACTCTAAATGACAACAAACTCTTTCCTACTTGTCAGATGAGCAGACTTTGCTTTGATTATCAATTGCAAAATGTTATTATGCAACAAACCACAGATACAAATAAATCTATACTTGGAACAGAATTGTGATTCTGTTATCTCTTATCTAATGTCATCTATATATGAATCAAAATAATAACAAACAAAGTAAAATGTGATGGAAATGTTGATTTGTTTTCTTTGATTCTTTGAAAGCAAGTACTTACTTTGTCTGGGCAGAAGTATCCAAAACCAAAGATCCCGAAGAGGGCCATGGCCCCACATATAATCAGGATGGACTTGAGTCGGGACCTGGGTTCCATCTGCTTGATTTCATAAACGCCGTTGGGCAGCAGCAGGGCAATGTCGCTGTCTATCACTTGCACAGAGACACTTTTGAAATTCTTCATTATAGATGCATTGCATGAACAATGATGTACATAAATTAGACAAAGAGAGAGCCAGAAACAATGAGAGCCTGTATCGCACGATCTCTACTTGGGAATGAATCGCTTCAGCAGTGAGCATGAATGCATATGTGTGATGTTTCGGTCGCTCACACTCTCCTCCCAATTATATGTTCTTAATGAATTATTAATAACACACAACGTCCGAGCGAAACTAAATATAAACAGACTACGCCATTTGCTTTTTTGACATTCCGTATGTACCTCTTATACCTTTACATTTAAAGCACTGCGCGCGCCGCGTTGCCAGACTTCCATCTGCTTTATCTTTAAAGTATAACTAAAGCTTTTGGTTAAACATTTACAAAATATTCGGACTATACACCCAACGCACTATACGCAACATCATAAATAAATATTGCATCATCATATTTTCAGTATTTTATTTGAAATTTATCAATGCAGAAGACAATCAATTATTTCAGACAATGAACACGGAGTTCCAATCGGGTTCGATTATGTAATCTCTGTTTTCCGGTTTCGGAAGGGGTGGCTGTATGCACCATGGAGGCCTCTTAATCGGCATACCTAGAATATTCAAATTACGATTTTATATCAAGTTTGACCAATTCATCTTATTGAATGCATTCGATTCATTAAATTGCACTTCTCATAAGTAAATTATAAACATCTACAATTGAATGTAACCTATTCTTTAACACATATTTCTTGTTAGAGGTTTGTTTGTTTACATTCCGAATTGCTGCACTTTAAAGAAATATACACATATCATTGTAAGAAACACAAACATCCTCTTATCGTGTTTTCGTTCTACGAAGATTCCTGCATTTCAAGAACACCGGTTTCTTTATATTTCTATAAATAGATGCAAATGGGGACAGGGCTTTATTTTTTTTTATTATTCCAGAAAATCTACGAGGTATTTTCCTTATGTGTAAAACAACAGCGAACCTCCCTCTAGAAGTTCTCGAGTTCTCAGAAGGTTCTTGCCTTTTTTTCTTAGCGAATATTTCCAAGAAATACTCATTCATACACAGTGCTACTAAACATTTCATATTCATTTATTTGACAGATTTTTAAAAGTAACTTTTCAATATTCTGTACAATATAAAAAATTAAATCTGTTAACGAATATTAAATTAAAATATTTATTAAGTAATGAAACACAAAATATTCTCATAAAACAAATACAATTTTCTATATTAAAACTGAAAGATTTTCTTTATTAATGGAACTATTATCATTGTTTTTAAAAAAACTTAATTTATATGAGAATTATTCGTAGGATGTACATACTATTTTGAGTTTGATATTGTGTTTTTAATTTTTCCCATGTTTAATGCATAACATACATGCATAATTTTAATTATAGAAATACCTTCATAAACACTATTGTAATATGTTCATGGTCATTTTATTAAATGCCGGAAGTTGAGTTCTTCAAACAAAGATTAATTTAAGTTTACGTTCATAGAATTAATTCTGTTGGAAGTTTGTTCAATAGATAAAAGATATAACTAGAACTTGATTAATTCTTATTAAAAAAAAAATTACTCAATATTACATGTAAATTGAGAAATCTATAACTTTCAATGAAATTATGTACAGTAATTTCTCGTAACATGAAATAGCTCATATAAAATAATAACCAGAAAGAAATTTAATACATAAATCCACTCTATACTAAATTATTCATTCATAATTCGCAAATAACACGATACCTAATGTAAGTTAATTAAATTTTTAATAAAATGAATTAGAACGCGAAAAAGAAAATATTAATCTCATTTGTTATTTTGTGTTTCTTATTAATAAGTCAAAGTAAAGCTATTCTTTACATATAACTTCTATAGATTATATATATATGATTTATATGGCAACAATGTTCTATGAAAGTTAGAATTGTATAATTTTTAAACAAATCAAATCCTCTTTTCATATCATTAAAATTGTCAATACATTATTACTCATATTTTCGTTTACCATATAGATAAATCAATTAATACCATTAAATCCTGTTCATCTAAACTTTAGATTCTAAAGTATCTTCCCGAAATTATTATTCAACAAATTAAATAATATTATATAGAAATAACGTTATATGATTTGATTTAGTAATTCAAGTCTTTCGAAACAGTAAAATAATTCAGTCATCCGATAAAGTAAATTTCAATACATAATAGGAATCTAAAATCTAAACAGTTTTATTGAAACAAATTATTGTGAAACAAATGGTAAATCCAGGGCCGGATCTAATAAGCGCGAGGCCCGATTGAATTTTTTTTTGTGAGGCCCCTCAAACTTTAAATAACAAAATTAATTAACAGTTAGAATTTACATATTTAAATATAGATTAAATTTATATATTTATTTATAACAAAATCCAAAATCCAACTATAAAAATCATGAACCATAAGGTAGACAAATTTCTACATTAAAAAACTGTACCAATTATTATCAAGCGCGGGGCCCGATTTGGCGCAATCGCTCCAATCGGCTCATATCCGGCCTGGGTAAGTCGAACATAGAAACTCTATAAAGGAACCTATTGAAATGACTAAGAAATATCTGTTTTTGATTAGAAACAGATGTACAGACTTTTAAATGGAAACAGTGGCGAAAGGGATAGTAGCAGGTAGCAAGATAGGTTTAAGTGCCCCATAAATTATCTGTAAAATATTTCAGAAAGTACTCTATTTACTTTTAAGATTTGACAAATTGTGATTTATTACTTTGGAATTATCATCCGCGAATTATCTACATTTTCAAATAGAATAGATTTTTAATAATCTTTGTTTTTTTATTTTTACTTATGTTTTGTTAATACAATTAAAACTATTAATGATCTTAATTTAAAAAAAAATATTGTATACCAGTGTTTCTTATTGAGCCTTGAATTTATATCGAAAAGAATTTAATTAATGAACTTTAAAAAATGTAACGCTAGACCAGTGTCAAAATCACTATTCTAAACCATTTTTTCAGTAATTTTTATAGTTATCAAGTATTATAAGTTTTTGCTACAAATATCATTTTTATGAACAAAATTTAAAATTTACCTGTAATTTGTTCTTGAAATGCGATAAATTATATATATAAAATGTTGGATGGTCGTGCAAATATTTATATACGTTTCGTGAGTTACTAGCAACTGATTACTACTTCCATTAAAATATATACGGCTCGATTTTTTTTACATAAAATGTTATTTACAAAGTATCATTGATTTATCATTTAATTTGCTGTTTTATATTCAATTCACTTGTAGATAAGAAATGTTATTAGATAATAAATACAAAAAACATAGTTGACGTAATCCTTACTTCATATTGGTATAACATAGATCAATTATTCTCAACCTTTTATTTTTGTCGCGGCACACTTTTAACACTTTCAAAATTTGACGACACACAAAAAAAGAATAAGTTTAAAAGTTGTTTACTTATCTATAACACACTGTGCATTATAATTTTTACTGGATACATTACTAAAATTTGGTGGAACAGTGTTTGATAATCACTGGCATAGAAATTATTGTGGCATTCTTATATACTATATCTACATTTGTATACTTTTATAAAAAAAAATCATATAATCACTATAAGTCTATATTTATTTTAAAAATCTAAATGTTATTGCAATTTGTAATTTAAATTATACCAATAATTGATATGCAAGTTAAAACATTAAATTTATTATGCTATAAGTTTATTGCAAGTATTGCAACTACCAGAATTCATTCATTTTTAAATAAATATTGACTAAGAAAATGAATAGTAAACCATTGTATTGTATTAATATTTACAATATCGGATTTCATCGGATATTCGATTACAATTGTTTATATTATAAATCGGAATCTATTTGTTAATTGTATTGTAGTCAATTATGTTTTATTGTATATTATTTTTCTGTGTACATGTTTATAAGACGCACCTTGAATTTGTGCGTTGATGAGTTTAGTAACATACAAGGTACACCCGACAGACCAGTAACAATATATAAAGACAAACATCACAAAACGATTAATGTTATAAATTATATCATTAATTGACTTATTGAATTATAACCAAACATAAACATCTGTTCTGAATAGTACATACAGTCGATTCCGCTTAATTGGGATACCGCTCCTAAAGAACGGAAACAAAACTAAGGAAATAACACAAATTTACTCCGCTTTTTCGAGACAATATTCCGTTTAATCGGGACAGTAATCATGTGTGAACCCCCGTGACGCCGGGCCCATGGATGCGGCGCAACCACAGGATCCATGAATGTTGCTTGAGCCGAATCCATGGACGGACCGCGCCTTATTAATACATATTCATTGTTAAGAATTAATATCATTTTCTATTGTATACAATTTTTTAATATGTATGCATACGTATCCAATTTATTAAATAAAATATTAAAAGAAATAATAATCCTGTAATTTTTGTAAAACTTCGGATAATTGGGCCAGCTGGTTAATAGGGACAAAATGTACTAGTCGCGATTAAGCGGAATCAACTGTATTTCACTATTATATTTTGTTAATCTTAAGATTTGTTTACATCCCACTCCTCACATTTAGGGTCTTGGGAACCGTTAATATGCACTTGGGTGTTCCTTGTATATATTTGTATCATGACTCTAACCTGATCCACATGGGAACAATCCGATAGCGTGCAACCAGTAGAAGACTTGCGATAAGAATCTGACCAAAAATGTGTACTCTCTTTCGTAGTAGAAGTTCCTCCTCTGTGGCCAAATAAAAATGATTCCCTTGGGTTGTGGTTGGCGCAGAATTTCGAAATGATTAGGCATGCAGCTCCTTCGACGATAGGGCTTCCCTAGTTGATACTTCGAGTAGGATATTGGCCTGGTATGTAGATAGTCGAAGTGATCGCTGCTATTTGGTAGAATCTTATTCAACTTGGCGAAGTTCTCATTGCTCATCGCGATTGCAGCTACGTCCCATCGTCGAATCTTGTGAACTTCTCGAGCGGACGACCAAGTCGATGACATTACTTTAGTCTGGTCTCCGAATCTTCACTGGAATCTTGTACACACCCAAAGGCAATATTTCCCCCTTCCGCATGTCATAATATCAAATTTGAAGTCAACGTTAGAAATATTGACATATATATTGCTTGATATTTGGGGTTATATTTAAATTCCATAATCGAATTTATTGGTCCCTTTTTGGGACTTTTATTAATAAGAGTTAATTTTGTGAAATCTTCTTAGTTGCATTATAAAAAAGATGTTGAAAACTTTAAAATAAAAATAATTTCTATAAAATACATATAATTATTTTTTCCTTTAAATTATGCTTCTCCAGAAGTGCTATGAGTGCGATACTACAAAATATTGTAAACTTACACACATGAGATTGCTACTAAAATTACTATTGATAATACAAATACAATTTTATTACAGTCTATTTCTTACTTGTCTCTTAAAAAAATAATATCAATCTGCAGGAATTTTCTCAGCGTAAAGAAAAAGTTTTACGCTCGATAATTATTAAGTTTTAAGATAAAGTTTACAATTTCAAAATTTAAGTGATTACATATATCTAATCCAAAATCAGCAAAACTACTAATAAAATTAAAATGTAAAAAAATCTTAAGAATATTATCAATTAATCAATAAATAATTTCTAATAAGATATACCAGACATATTATTTGTATATAATACAGTAATCAATCTATAAATATAAAGTCAAATAGTATATTTGATAAATATAGATAATCTCTTTCCTTAAAAGTGAAAAAATTAGCCCCAAGCTGACTACTATTTCTATTTTTTTAACCAACGCAACGTATTTTTTTAGAATTTTATTTTACCTACACAGACCAAGTTCACTGTGATCAGGTGTATGTATTCAAATAATACGCTAATGTAAACTAGTTTAAAGTAGTTTTAATTGTTAAAACTAAAACTATTCATTTCTTATTGATAATTCGCATTATGTCTATTAAGATTATTTCTTTATTATAACTTTATTTTTTAAATAAATGAAATGCTGAAATATATACGTTTTTATAACAAAGCGTGGAAAAAATATTTCAATCAATAGCACTTTTAGAGAGTACAAAAAATTGTAAATAAATAAGAATATATTAATATTTCAAAATAAGTACGTGTCAAACTAATCTATTATATGTAGAAATCAATTGAAAATGAACACATAATGTTACGCATTTATGAAATTGAATTTCATATGTATCATCTGGATTTGAATCTAAATGTAAATATATATCTTACAAGTTCGTCCTGTACATAAACAATAAATGTAGGTTAAAATATCGCTGATAAATAAAAATCGATGTAAGGGTTTTGTAATGTTGCACATCTGTTTTATGTTTAACTGTATTTTGTAGAATGTAGCATCAATATTGACGAATAGTCAATTTATAGTTTCATGAAAAATGAGTTTTGAAATGTAATTAGAATTAGCAGTGTCATAAACCATAATTATTTACAAGATCTCACGTAAGGTCCGGAGAATATGAACGATGTGGTAGAACACCCATTCGACATTATTCAGAGCCTCCTTGACGATGTTTGCGGTTTTTGGACACGAATTTTTGTGAAGAAAGATGACTTGACCACGTCGATCGGCCCTTTTCTACAGAATTGCTTCGTTCACATGATGAAGTTAGCCGAGATAGCATTCTTTGTCGACAAACAAGGAATGCTATCTAGAATATTACACCTTTACAGTCTCACCAGTCGCAAATAATTGTCTTCCTAGAAGATCTTGATTGCCATTTTTGTACTTGAAAACCCAATTTTCAGCAGTCCTCTGAGCTATAACATATACTCCATCACGTCATAAATTTCGCGAACTGCTTCCATAGCATTTTTTGTCCACGATGAAAGGAGAAATATAGCAATGCCAAAAAACAAATTTTTTGCCTCCTGCAACTTCCATTTCAATAGTGCGAAAGTTGATTAAAATTATTTATTTCGAAAAATTAAAGCAGATAGGTGTGTAGAGCAATAAAAATACTTGTGAATGCATATATATACTTTACCTAAGAAAACACAAATTTGCAGGAAAAAAAAAACGCGGGAACTTATTACACAACCTAATATTTCAAAATGTTAATTAAATTATTAAACTTTATCGATGATCTTATTAATTGGTAATGTTTTTTTATCAACTAAATTAAACTCATTTTCAAGTATTTTGAGATTTTAGCTTACTTAGAATTAAAAATTGTAATCGTATATGCCTTTTACACTCAAAAAAGTAGATATTTCTGCATTGAGATAAATATTCAACATTTAACTGTTTCATATGTTAAGAAAGTGAATATATTTCTATACTGTAAAGGTTGGTGTAAACTTTGCACTGAGTACTAAACTCTTCCGCGAATTTCAAATTCAAAATATAGAATTAATTGAATTATTGAATAAATTCATTTATTTCTATAAATACTTCTTAATGTAAAATAATATTTTTCGGGCAGAAAGACTACGACTATTAGCCAATAAACATTGTTATATAATAATATGTATACCTCTTATTTAAATAACAAATTTAGCAACTAATAATGATATTCTTCTTATTTTCCTCATAAATTATACAGAATAATGATGTTTTCACTGTTTTTTCTTTTAAATTTGTTACTGATTGTCCATTGCTATTTTTTTATAATAGTATATAAATTTAAAAAAACTGATTCATTATATTATAGTGTAGGGGGTTCCCAAACTTTTTCGGTTTCCGGATATCTTAATATATCAGAGTTTTCTCAAAACATTAAACATAAAAAGTTTCTGCGACCCCCCGAAGAATGGGTACGTGTAGAAAAATAACCAGGATTGATCTATTATTAATTTTTTGCGACCCACCAAATATTTTACCCAGGGGGGTCGCGACCCACACTTTGAGAATCACTAACTCAGAGCGAACGATTTGTTAATATATCAGAATTTTCGCACAGCTCTGGCGCCCCGGGGTATAGTTTGAGAATCACTGGTATAGTCTAAATTATATAGTATGATCATTTCTATGGTTGTTATACTCATAAAGCATTATGTACTCCTAAAAAAGTCAAATAGGATACTCTCAAAAACACATGGTTGAATTGTCATGGCTAATCTGAAGAAAATAGATAGTTTTTCAAAAAACAAATTATTCGATAGTAATAAATAATTAGCTAAATTTTTAATTATCTCTTGTGAGGCTTTATTTTTTTAATGGTAAATCCTTTAGTTTGAATATGTCATAATGTCAATAATTACATTTTATATGTAAACAAAACAAAATATATCTAGTCGACTATTTGCATTTTAATTTGTATGTGACTGTTAGGTGTTGGTATCTAATCTACGGTTTTCCGTATCCCATTGAAACATGATATTACAACGATACATTTCACTATAGAAGAAAATATAGCGTAAACAAAGTTTTACGAAGAAATGTATACTGCATTAAACGCAATAGGATTTGCGACAAGTCGTGCTGTTCCATATGAAATAAGGCAACCGCGCGTCCGACTGAAGGTCGATCCAGTGGACATATCCAATGTGTATTGCATTGCAGAAACAACAATTCCAGAGACTGTTTCGTAATCGATTACAGCAGAGGACGGGTTCGGCCCGGTCGCGTGTTCAAAGGTAGAGAGGTAGGTGTTCCCTCTGTACATATGTTCGGTCGTGTTTGCAGCAGTCTGGTTTCCTGCCGGCCGGTCCTGCGAGTGCTGCAAGGGGGCTCGAGGCACCTACGCCACTGCAACGCCGCAGCCACCACCTCTCTGCCATGTAAATATAATTCATACGCACACTACTTTTTCTGACCCAAATAGAATTCAATACCAAGTTTAGAAGTAGTCATTCTTTTTTAAACGTAAGCTGTGTGTTTCATTTCACGATCCGCCGCCTCAGACTTCACCTCGCGCTGTTTCGCTTCCACCTCCAGGATGGCTGATAAGGAGGAATTGAGAAAACGATTAACGCCCCTGCAGTACACAGTGACCCAGGAAAAGGGCACCGAGAGACCTTTCACGGGTAATTATTTCCCTTACATATTCGAACCCGATAATACAAATAGAACATTTTTTTCAAATGCTCCTTATGATTCAGGTGCATGCTACCTGACAGCAGTTGTTACCAACGACATATAACTTTTGTTTATCGCTTGCTTGATTTCAGGTTGCTTCAACAAGACGTACGATAAAGGAACTTACGTGTGCATATGCTGCGAGCAGCCCCTGTTTTCCTCCGACACCAAATATGACAGTGGTTGCGGATGGCCTGCTTTCAACGAGGTCCTCGACAAGGGCAAAATAAAATTAACACCAGACACTAGTGGAGGTAAGAGTTGTGTGGTGGTGCTTCCAAGCCGTTCCTTATTTTTTATTTTCGATGTGGACCACACAGTAGTATTAGTTGTAACCCCAGAGAATTGTCGCATTAATCAACGAAAGATGGTATTGCAGTAATAGCACTCCGATACTGGCGAAAAGGCGCACGAGTTCTTTATCGTCGGAACCGATTTCAATATAATAGTAATTGCAGCTCTGGAATCTTGGCTTTAATGTGTTTTATAAATAGTTTATTCGTGTCAGTGACTTGCCTTATTGTTTGCTTCTGTAATTACACTTTAATTGGACGCTGCACATAACGGAACTGTTTTCAATTCAAGACAGCAGTTTGAATAATTGCTAAATTACTCATTGCAATATACGATTCCGTTGCACTCGATTCAATATCGCCTTATAAAGTTTTCGCATTTTATCAAACCATTGTCGGAATGTTAACACAACAGGAAATTGCGTCTAATATTTAATGCACATTGAAACTATATACATTTAACAACAAAGACGCAAGAAAATCATTTTTTTTTCTATATTTAGAGAACAGTGGAATATTTCTATATTTTTCTTATACATAACCTCAAACAACAATAAACAAATATCCATTGCTATTATATACATCTATTTGAAACTCAATCTATTTAATAAAACGAATATTAATTGTTACATACAGATGTTGTTCATAATTATCATTGCGATATTATTCAAAGAAGGTCAACGTTAAATTTGATAATAATATTACAAAAAGTGCGCAGCGTCAATGTAATGATCATATAATGCTGAAGCAATTCAGTTTCAATCTGCATTGAATGGAAGCGTAATCACGGGCTTGTTTGAAATATTTTATTTGGACAATTATCTTGTTTAATGGTATGTTCAAGGTTGGTTTCGTGCTAATGCTGTTGCGAGATAAGTTTGCAGTAGGCCGAAACCACAGTTTCCTCGAACTGCATATGTAATATTCTGTTGCCGCTATCAACTTATCGTTTCCACTTTTTTGTGTGTGATCTTGTTTTGTGTTTCAATGTTTTCCTGTATTCGAAAAAATCCCACTTAATCCTGGCTCGCTTTCAACATTAACAAATAATATATATGAAGCATTCAAAACATTGATGATAATTCTGAAAATATTTATTTATTTACTATATTGGTATAATATTAACTATAATCATAATTTGCAAAATTTCAAAATATTGTAATATTGCGAAATTCGACTTCGTACATTGATAAATAATATCTTATTTTTCTTTTCAAGTTAGTATTACGATCTATAAATAATAAATGAAATAATTTTATATTCCATTAGATCATGAGGTGATAGATCAAGGTTTTCTTGTTTACATTCTTATAAAATTAACTACAATTGATCTATATCGTTGCTCGTTGCATACGATATATCAATTCTAATAATTTTTTAATATAGTTCATTTTTAACTTGTTATAGTTATTATTTCATAAGTTATTTTCAAAATTATTGTGAATACATATCATTTGTCATAACTGTATATAAAATGCGTAATAAATGGTTATTTAGTTTCTAAAAATATGAATGATAAATCAATTCTAATTTTTAATTAGTATATTATTATATACAATGTTTATTGGATCATTTTGGGTCAAATAACGTCTTATTTCCGCGTTAAATAGCAAATAATATTTCTATATTTAATAATAAATTATTTAATGTTAATATTAACTAATTTTTAGAGTTTAAAATACTTGATTACTTAAATTCGGATTTTTTTTTTCAATTTTGATTACAATTTAGTATATTAATATAACAATTCATTACCTTATATATAAAATATTATAGACATCGAACCTTTCGAGGTTTCAGTTATAAGGACACTATGCCTAAATAAAGATTATATATAAAGAATATATTTGTAGTGCGTACGCGTCGCACGCCCATCGTTTATTTATAGTTTCGGTAAGACTGTTCGAATAACGCAAATGCAACGAATAATCATTTAGTACATCATAAGCTTGCATGTTCAAATTATTTTTACTATTATAAAATTATTGTAATCAAGCCAAAATTACTTTGCTCTAAAAGAAAAGTCGATAAGAAATTTAAATTGTGTTGGCATGAAAAACTGACCTGAAAACTGCACCACTACTTTAAATTGATTAACCTTACCCGTGTTAAGAAAATAATAAAAGTAATTATAATTATTCATATCAACTATTTTTAAACATGAGCTTTACTTTATTTTTAGTTGAAAATCAATGAATTTACCATTTGGTTCCGTTACATTTGTGAACTGTGATCTGTGATAACATATAAAAAATTTGCTTTACTTACACACTTCTTTGCATATTCATCACACCTATTGTTAACCTATACATAATTGTAACTAGTGTATTTGAGGTTGCTTATTGTTACATTTACATAGCATATTAATATTCTTTCGCGAGAAACGAAGATGATATTTTTCATCTTAAGTTGTTTTTATCAATAATACTCGATTATATAATCGATGGTAACTTTTACTTTGGAAAATAAGGACAGCGGGATACAGCTTTGTTGTTTGGTCGGTCTTTGTGATGAAATCTCCCTTACCTGATATGCCTATAAGTGGATGCGGTGTTTCATAATACAAATCACGTAAAGGAAACCGGGAATCGAGTTCTGCTGCTGTTGTTCGCGCTATTGGCAAATGTTTACATGTATACTGCATGAACGCAACTGCTTCGAAACACTTCTCTGCAAAGTTTATATGTTCAACACGCACGCACAGGATTTAAGGAAGGACTTTTCTTATTTGCTGCTTCTTGTGCTTGTTTTTCCGCGAGGAAATCAGAGCGCGTAGTCAAATAACTGGCGGCCACTTATTTTCGCCAGGTGAAAATTTATCCGTACGTGAAGTATAAATTGGATTAACGAGGATGTGACTCTAACCATTTATTACGCATTCCGAGGTTGGTTGCTTCATCGTTGCTTCTCGTTCTGCTGTCATCACTTTGTGTGAATACATTCGTTTATTTTATTTCTTTCTGTTTCAAATTTATTTGGGGACGCTAATTGTACTGTTTTTCTTCCATCGTTTCTCTCTATCCTCGACCAAAATCCCTCTCTCGATCATGCTTAATTTTTAAATTAACACATATTTATATGCACATATTTCTCTTGGGCGCACTAAACATTTATTTATTTATTTTTATCTTTTTCACCACACACACACACAAATGCAACAAACATGCTGATCCCTAATTTCCCATTTCCTTAACATTGTTTTCTCTCTTATTCTCCTGCCGTGTAATCACTCAGTTGGAGCTAACCTTCTACTCCTGATAACCCAACCAGGTCGCATCCGTACCGAAGTTACCTGTTCCAAGTGCGATGCACATTTGGGTCACGTCTTCGACGATGGTCCACCTCCGAAGAGGAAGAGGTTCTGCATCAATTCGGCCTCGATGAATTTCATACCGGCCGCAGGCGATGAAGGCGATGCGAATAAAAGCTAAGAAGATTTTCCGCCTATTCAATTGAAGACTATTCGTATTTCTAAACCTAAACTATATACCTCACTAGGAAGATCGACATTGGCCTAAACTATATCCAAACTCTATAAAACTACAGCAATAACAGCTCTATCCCAAAAGCGTTGACGATGCAAATCTAAATTAATCACTGTTAATGTCATATTTTTTTACTTAATGTTAGTATTCAATTGATCTTTTTATATAACATATGTAAACTTGAATTCTCGTTATTCCTTGTTTCTGACTCTATTAAGCTTTAGTACGCGAGCATTATTTTATGTGCTTCTGTAAATTAACCTATATTGTGTTTAAAATGCATACTGAATAATAAAGTTTTCCTGTGTTTTTTGAAATAAAATTATAGTTTGCATTTTTTTCTTACCAAGTTATTATTTTCATAATCTACATAATCATAATCCAGAAAATCCCCGAGTTAAATTAAGTTTTAAGTAAATGTATTCTAAAATAAAAACAAAGAAAATTATTAAATTATCAACATAAGGTATTCCTATGTTATATTATGTGGGTAATCGGTTGTGACAATATCAAAAATGATCATTTATGTATCAAAAATTATTTTGTGTACTATTTTTCAATCCGGGCTATATAAAAAGAAATTAAAAGAAAAAAAATAAAAAAAAATTATTTGTGTCACCGTTCTTCATCTTGTTAATTTAAAAATAATAATTAGACTTTCAAAACTTTTTTTTTTAGAAAATATACAATAAATATTTACATTATTGCAATCCAGTTTATTAATTATAACAAGTACGTCAATGTGCGGCGCACAGTTTGGAAACCCCTGATTTAGCATATTCTGATATATAGATATCTCGGTTAATGTTCACTCTGATAACGAATGGGAGGGACCATTTAACATACAAAATATTCCAATATAATGTAAACGTCTGTCAACAATACACCATTAAAAAAAACAAGAATCCCATTCAATTATTAATATGTAGTCGGATGTGTAAAATGAATTCAAAATCAATGAACCTGATATTTATTATCAAGGGTGGTTTTGTCCTTCTTGGATACAAAACTAGAGGTTTAGGTGCGAAACTTTGGAATGGGTTCGGTGGTAAAGTGAAGAATGCTGAGACTCTACTGGAAGGTGCCGCCAGGGAGCTGAAAGAGGAGTGTAACTTGGTTGCCGAATTAAACCAAATCGGCTGCATCACCTACAATCATCTAAATGAAAACAAGTCGTATATTGTTCATATTTTTTACGCTACATCTTATTCCGGACAAATCATTGAGAGCGAAGAGATGTCTCCCATACGTTGGTTTGATATGACAAACATGCCATATGACAGTATGTGGCCAGATGTACCGTACTGGTTTTCATTGGTCCGTAAGAAGGTTTACTTCATTGCAAGGATTGATAGAGACATGTTGGAATGCGTTGACAAAAGTTTAAGTGTTTTTAATAATTATGAAGAATTGGTAAATGGAATTAACAAATAAAATAGAACAGGTTTTTGGTTCCTCAACTATATTGATAGATTGTCTTTTTTTATATTGAAATAAATTTCAACAATATCTATTTTGTTTTTCTTATTTACCGTTGACACATTTATTAGTTTCTTCTAATAAAGTCGCACGTTGCTCTTACGATACTTTATTTATATAATTTCTAAATTGTCGACGGTTATTCTGACAACAGAACATAAAATATGCTAAATAACAAATTGTTGATAAATGATTATACTTAATGTGAAAATATAAACATTTATTTATTTATTTTTATCTTTTTCACCACACACGCACACAAATACAACAAACATGCTGATCCCTAATTTCCCATTTCCTTAACATTGTTTTCTCTCTTATTCTCCTGTCGTGTAATCACTCAGTTGGAGCTAACCTTCTACTCCTGATAACCCAACCAGGGTTATGTCCTTAACAACATTGCGGAAATGATTTTATATATTTATGTAATTTATAATATTTTTTTGAGTACCAATTTCTTTTTTTTTTAAATCTATATTTTGAGAGATTCAAATATAAATAATAAATATTAACTTTTACTAAGAAATCTCCTTGAAAAAAAAAAACAAATATAACAATTTGCAAGTGATTTATAATTAATATCAGAGAAGATCATTACGCTGATAGCATTGAATTTTCTTTTCACGAATTTTGCAAGGAATTATTGGCTTAAATTATTTCTTTAAATTCTGAAGCATTATTTTGTAGTATCCAAACCTTAATAAGTGCATACCTCACTTCTACGATCAATCAAGTGGATACACGTTTTAAAATAAACATATATAAAATACAAAGAGTCCTCTTAGGAACACTCCTAATCGATATACTTTTTATATAAACAAATATAATTGAGCGCGAGTTGCAGTAAACAAAACCACCCAGCTTGATTGCCATGGAATCGCTTAATCATCCATTTATAAATGAATCCCTACTCCCTATCACAAGTCCCGCTCCATTGTAATAATAATTAACTTTGTAAGTAGTATTTAAGAATTAGTTTCAGTAAGAATGTCAAAGGATCGACATTAGTCTTAATCGAGAGTGAAGTACATCACCTATACTAAAATAATTGTTATAGTTTAACGGGTTAATCGAAATGCTGTTATAAATTGGTGGAAGGAGTGACTGAAAACTGCGAGAATGAATAATGAGTGCTTTTGAGAATGTGACTAACTTGATCATGAGATAAACAAACCATAGCCCATGTAAAACATGTAAGTAAGCAATAATTATAATATAAGAAAATAATTTTAAATCTTATTTTAGTCTGATAATCTGTTAATATGGACCGAAAAGCTTGATCAAAAGCAACAATACAATTACCAACACTGACAGGAACACCAAATATCCGAAAGGTTGCATCCATAATTAGCAACGAATAAGTGTTTAGAGAGCGAAAGAAATGTCAAGTTTCTCGTATTCTGTTCCAAACATATTCTATTTTTGTACGCTAGTGGATCAGAAGCGGCCAAATGCATTCATTAGTCTAACGAATTTAGAGAAAGTTGAAGTATAAAGTAAATACGTAAACCCGTGTCTGTGTATATATTTTACGCCAGAAAAAATGAAGATATGTTGAATTTTTTGTCACAAAGTAAATATAGATTAATTTTTCATACTAATCAAAATTTTCAAAAAAATTGACAGTTATTCAGTGACATTATACTCTATATTTCTCTATATGTATATTTATTACTATTTTATTACATAAAATTTCATTATATCAATTATTGTGTTAATTTTAATTAAATGATAATTACATATTTTGAAATAAGCGCTGTATTAATATGTAATTGGAAGAATACAATGAATTCGAAAGTAATGACATTGGTATTCATCACTAAAGAAGATTTAGTACTTCTCGGTTATAAGACAAGAGGTTTTGGAGCGAACCTTTGGAACGGATTTGGCGGAAAGGTAGAAAATGGTGAGAGTCTTCTGGAGGGAGCAGCGAGAGAGTTAAAGGAGGAATGTAACTTGGTAGCCGAATTGAACCACATCGGATGCATCTTAGTGAATCACGAAGAAAAGAACACGTTATATATTGTTCATATTTTCTATGCTACAACCTTTTCCGGACAAATCACAGAAAGCGAGGAGATGTCTCCAATAAATTGGTTCGATATGAACAACATGCCTTACGAGAAGATGTGGTCTAATGTACCACACTGGTTTTCATTGGTCCAGAAGAAGGTTTACTTTATCGCCAAGTTCAACCTGGAAGAAGGTGATTGCAAATATTTAAAAATAATAAAAAACCATAAAGACTTGTTAAAAGCTGTGGACAATGAAAATGTGAAAGATATTTAATGCTTATGTAATACTTTAAGGATCCTGGCTTCAGCTTTCTGTTCATTTGATGCATAAATATTTAATCTGTTTGATTATTTTACAATAAAAAAAATTAATAACATCTACGTTTTATTCTATTTGTTTTTCGTTTGTCGGTTATACATTCACCTTGTTCTTCTGAAAAATATTAATGTTAATAAAATAATGAAAATGTTATAACACAAATTACTACCTGAATCATCCAAATCATCGCAATCGACGTCTTCATATGATCCAGATATAGCAGAGCTTGGATAATATTCGCAAAGGAAAGGTAATGTGTGTGAGCAGCTTATAACTTTCCAAGTCTTTTTGGAATCTAGAACAACGCAGTCGTCACTCTTCATAACATTCCTAGGTTGTCCTGGTCCCCAGGCCCTAAATCTGTAACAGGTGATTGGATCGCCCAAAGGGGTCTCAAACAATCCTTCACGTCGTGTATCATCCAATCCAACGAATGCCACTTTGTACCAATCCCTTACAAAGTTTGAAACTAAATTTGAGAGAGCGTTTGTCCTGGATTCGCTTAATATGTGAGCCAAATCTCCACCCAATTTCTGGCATTGGTCAATAGCAGTACTGTAGTTTTCTTTTACATCGATTAATCGAAACATCCCAATCGATTTAATACAATGCGAATTATCCAGTGCTTAAATATATAAGTTATATTTATTTCACGAAGAACATCATATACATACCTGTATACAATACAATATATATATTGATGATATTTACCTGAATAATTTCCATAAGAACTGTAATAATCAAAAGCCGCGTCTTTGACTAGAGTTGTTAGATTCGCAGTTTCCGGACACCCAAGCACTTGACAATTGTGTACATTTATTCTGCTGTCTTTGACGTAGAATGGACTAAAATTGAATGCCAATCCTTTTTTCTCCCTAGCGTAGGAGATGCACTCACTTAGATCTCGAACGTTTGTCTGTGATGTGATCGTGGCCTGCGATCGTCTGCAAGCTTTGACTTTGTGATATTTTCTGAGCCTCAATTCTTCGAGCAAACATTGACGTACGCCGAGAATGGTGATGCAAAAGTGGACAACCAGAAACAGGACCTTTATTTTCGCATTAATGTACATGTTGACTTGTATATTTCGCACCGACACAGTGCGATGTCAATCGTGAATGTCATTAACGGTGAGTGCAGTTGCCGGATGTTCCCTCTCATTTCCTTCAGAAAACACGCGAACGTCAATCGCGGATTGAATTTTTGGGAATAGAATATCCGGTGCGGCCTTCGTCGAGTCAAACTGATGTTAAATAAAAAACATAATTTCTCAAATTAATAAATAATAACGAATTAAATTACTCTCTCGATTTTGGCGTTGTACTTCTTAATGCCTCTCGATATATTCTTTTGATAATGGGAAATTTCTTCTTTGATGTCGTGAAGTTTCCTGGTTTCTGACTTGAATTGCGAACGAGATATCATCATCGGGATGTTGCACGTCAAATAGATGATGACGTCCACGTCGCAAATTTCGTTTACGAACATGTCCGCTTGAGATGCGTTACGAGGAAAGCCGTTCAGAAGGAATCCACAGGACCACGGAGCCCTGGACAACATTTCCTCCTTGACGATATCAATGATTATAGTCTTGGAAGCATGGAATTAATATAAATCTATGAAACTTATATGGAACCGAATTACGTCTGGAATTATTTTAACTTTTTTCTCGATGTTTTCCTTAATGACTCGACCTCTGTCTGTTTCGTTGCTCGCATGTTGTCTGAGCAAACTGCCTATTTTAATCACGTCGAACCCGTAGAAGTCTTCCAAAATCGCCGATTGAGTGTCCCTTCCGGTGCCTGGTCCACCGATCAACCATATTATTGGTACTTTTAGCTCCTGCAGCGGGGACATATCGTACGATAACCGCTGCATTTCCGGAATCTAATGCATCTAATATTAATAATAATGTACCAATCAAGTATAAAACGTTTACGCAAAATTTCTTGCTCGTTCCTGACCCCATCGAAATTTTGACACAATATCAAATAAAATATGAAATTTCAAAGAACGCCAATATTGTAAACAAACATTCTGATTTAATTAAAGTAAATAAGTTTTATTATTCATAAATATATACTTATTTAGTATGGAATTACTTTTGTAAAACAATAACAAAATAATTCGTAATAAAAGATTTTATACAAAAAGCAAAAGAGCTTTTATTACTAGTGACAAGACACACATCTACACTAACTTAATTAATATTGTGCAAAAAAAAATGTTAATTGAGGGCGGGATAAAAATTAGGGCTTGAGATATTGGTAACCAGATTTTAATTTAAGTAAGGCGGAACAAAAAAAAGACAAAAATGACTGATTCAATTCACCCTAGTTTTTTTCTTTGTTACAAGGAACTGCTTCTTCAGGCATTAAATTATTTTTTTTATAAATTTTACACCCTTTTTATTCGAAAATCGAATAGAATGAGCTATCAGTAATTTTCATGGTATTAATATTAATACCATGAAAATTACTGATAGCTCATTCTATTCGTATTTGTTTTCGAGTAATGAAGCAAAACACTTAATTCGCACAAATATAAACTGCGACTTGGTTTATATTTATTTCAATATTATATTTTTTGGTATTGGTAAAAAGTATTTTTTTAAAATGCAGGATTTCTTTTTAAATTCGCGGGATGAATTGTTAAAAATCGGAATTGTCCCGTCCCGGATATTTGAACTTAGTATTAAGATTTCTAGGAATATAGATTTTAGAGAGGGAAGTGATTGGATATACATAGTGTGAGATTTAATGTCTAGGAGAAGAACTATTTTGGTTTTGTAATACTGGAGATCGCTAGATGGGTTCTGTAGTTTATTATTTGGATGTTGAATCCATAAGTGAAACCATAATTAAGAATTGTGTTTTTAGAATTTATTCTGGACAGAAGTTGTTTGGAATGAGAAAATAATTTTATACAATTTCGCAATATTGTTTGAGTTGATAAAACACAGATAAAAGTGTTTATCATTATTTGTTTTTCTAAATGAAATTATATGTAATATTTACATTAAATAGGTAACTATATTAAATGATTAGTTTATTTGTATGATTACTATATATTTTTTTATTGTTTATCTGTAATTTTTCTCGTAGTCGAAAATGTACGGTGGGTTTTGTTTGAAAAACGATTTTGATACTATTTTAGAAGATTTTTCAAAAAAATAAAAAAAATCTTAACATGTAAAATTTGTCTACCTTATGGTTCATGACTATTAATTTTTATACTTGGATTTTGGATATTGCTTTAAATATTTTTTTGAAATCTATATTTAAATGTAAATTTATATTTATATGTAAATTCTAACTATTAATTAATTTTGTTATTTAAAGGTTGAGGAGCCCCGAAAATTATGTGCAGGTTTTTACAAGTTCAAAATGTATTGCGACCACAAAGCGAATGACTACATCCTACCACTTACACAATTTTATAAACATATATAATTAATTGGTACTTTTATAAATAATGTATATGTCTTTATATTATAAGATATAATGCAGCGTTTTCCAAACTGTGAGGCGCGCCTCCCTGGTGAGGCGTGGTTTAGTCTAAGGGGAGGCGCGAATATTAGTCGCAGTGAGCAATTTCCCAAATATCTGCTAAAGTTTTATGTCTTTTATGAAATGGAGGGGGGCGGGGAGGCGCCAAATGATTACATACTTTTGAGAGAGGCGTAGTAACATCAAGTTTGGAAACCACTGGTATAATGTAAGTAAATAGGTACTATGAGTGTATGTTGACATCCACAATTGTGGACCCCCATTTTCATTTCATGGACCCCCATTTTTTTTTTCGCTGACGTAGGTTGTCATAGACCTCTGGGGGTCGATATAGACCACTTTGGGAATCACTGCTTTAAACAAAGAGTTGTAGCCCACAATTCATTATCATAGATTAATTTTTTTAATTAAATAATTAATTTAATTTTTAATTGTTATGTATACTAATTATATATATTATTATTAATTGTTGCTTTAGTTTTCCATACCAAGTAAAGGGACATTTGTTTATAAGTATGTTATTACCATCATAAGCATATTTACAATATTATATAAATACCGTTAGAGTTTAAAATTGTAGGCAAATATCAATACCACACGTTCATTGTATACATTATGAACGATTCCAAGACAATTAAGTCCCTGAATACTCTTATACTACTTGTCAGCAAGTGGATGATATCTAGATGTATAGTAGATGTGACATAATGTCTAGTAGCAAGGTTGTTGTAGAAGGTAGTCAACTCCTTGACAGGACAGGAAGGACGAAGTCGGCACATATGAATTTTCTCATTAAAAGAAAAAATGGGTTATTGTGTTATCACTTCCCCTCTAGCCAGGATACCTTTTGTCACCGGATGTACTTCTAGATGGAAAATTACATCAAATATTGTCCATAAATCGAAGCACTTCATATATTTTACATTGATTTATTTAATGCACATAAATACAAAATACAGGTTCACGTACCAATTAAATTACACTAATATATTATTACAAGAGTTTAAAATTTATTATTTAGTTACTAGAAAGATTCATTTTAAATTATCATTAAATTGCAACTTAGGCAAAACTGTTACTATGATAGATTAAAATGTATTTAACAGTAATTCTTATATCATACATATTGGAAATGTGATCATTTTGAGTATCTGTATATTTGGAAGTCATCCATCGTTAATGTAATCAGTAAATTTAATTATTAACATACTGTAAAATTTTGACATGTTTTAAACAATTATAATAAAATAGAATGAATACATTATTTAATCCTTAATTATCTTTGATTTTCTTGTGTTATAATTCTGAAACAAGAAATATATTTACATTAATGAATGAAATGGGCTATAAGCAATGACTTTACACTTACTTCTTTCGCTATACTCGCTATAGTTGCAGCCATAGGTCCTGTCTGCTCTACTAATGAATAGAAATAGCCTACAGGATTCTGCAGCAAAATATGTGGTTCATCGAATTCTTTCGCTTCTCCATTATCCAACACCAATATCTTATCCGAGTCTACTATAGTATTCAACCTGTGAGCAATGGTGAGGACAGTGCAATCTTGGAATTTCTCTCTGATCGTTTTCTGTATAAGGGAATCGGTTTTTGGGTCCACGTTCGCTGTGGCCTCATCCATTACTAAAATGTTATTGTCTCGGATAATCGCTCGAGCCAAACAAATCAATTGCCTTTGACCCACACTGAAATTCGAGCCTCCTTCATTAATTTTCATGCCTAAACCTAAAGGAATATCAACGACCGTGGGTTTCATTTCGACTTGCTCCAAGGCTTCCCACAGAGTTTTATCTGTATATTCATCGAACGGATCAAGATTTCTTCTAAGAGTTCCACCAAACAAAACTGGTTCTTGTGGAATTATCGATATTTTTGAACGAAGTTTCTTGAGGTGTACCATTTGCGTGTTAATTCCATCTATTTCAATAATACCCTCAGTATGGGCCAATTGGAACAGACATGTAATTAATGAGGACTTCCCTGCACCCGTTCTTCCAACAATGCCAATCTTTTCTTTTGACTTGATGTCAACGGAAATATGTTTAAGAACGTACTGGCCTTCGGCACTGTACTTCAAACTGACCTTGCGAAATTCTATCGCGCCATTCTTCGGCCAGTTCTTTGAAAGTGGTGCATTGCCCTCAAATTTGCTTTTCTCTTGCTCGACATTAGTATACTCGACGACTCTCTCCACCGAAGTCATATGGTTCTCCATTTCGCTCCACTGCCGCATGCCCCATTGAAACATACCAGTTAAAGACATTGCTTGAGTTAACGCCAATCCCACATTGGCACCGTATTTTTCTAATGAACAGAAAATAAAAAAACATATAGTTATATATTAGCAGAAATTAATATACAATTTACCGTTTGTTAGAAGGAAGCTGTATCCGACTAAAGCAACGTAGAAACTACAAAATAAATCTAACCAAAACCCAAATGCTCTCGAGCAAGACAAGAAAGAATGCCAAGCAGAACTATGCAAATCTTGATACAAATCAAACTTCTTTCTTAAAATATCCTGTGCTCTAAAAGCTCGTATTGTTGTTAACCCTTGTAGACTAGAGTTCAGGTGTGTAAAAACGGGACTTTTCGCTTAAAAATGAATATTCAATATATTAAGTAACTCAATAATAATTAATAATAATTTCTTACCTATTCCTTCTAATCGTTTTATATTACGACTAGTCTTCAAGTAAATCACCCTGAGAAAATAGAATATTATAGTTATCGTGATTATGGCTAACAGCAGCCAAGGGCTTACGATTGATGAGATTATTGTTATACCCAAGACTTGGGATCCCACCTAAAATTACAATAGCATAAAAAATAAGTGCTATATAATGCGAGTAATAAATTAATTGCACGTACTTGAATAGTATCTAATGATACGTAAGGAAACTGTTCATCAATCGAGCCCATGTCCTTCGAAAATCTATTAAGAATAATACCAGATGAGTTATTGTGGAAGAATGACATCGAAGCTCTGACTATTCTTCTGAACATATTGTTGTGCAGATTTGTCGAGGCTTTCATGGAGAATTTAAAATACATGACAGATCTTAATAACGTTATTATTATCATCCGAACAACTATTCCAGAATATATGTAGATACACTCGTAAGTTGTTAAAAGACTCTCTGGGTCCGATCCGGTTGATCTATTTTGTTCCACAATAACCCTGCAAGATAGCATTGTACCAATTTAAAATAGCAAAACTATCCAGTTGATTACATGTTATTATAAATAAAAAGTAATATATATCAGTTTTTCTCAATCGAAAAATTACTGCAGATCGAAAAAAAAATCAACTTAACACAATAATTTCTGATAAATTTCATTCAGCTCTACATTTTTAATTTTCTTGCGGACCGGTGCTTCAGAAACGCTGACATATATAAAATAATTTAAATGAAAAATACTTACCAATAAGTAATAAAATAATCACAGGCTGATACTCCAACTTGAGTAAGTATGAAAAGTATTATGATAAAAATTACCATACAAACATTTCCACCAGCTTTTAAATACGCCATATATATTGCAGATTTCACTTTACCAACGCTTCTATTTTCTACTTGTACCAATTGCGCAGGTCGAATCTCCGGCTCTTCATCCAACTTTTCTTCCTGCTTCTTAGCGTCTCCATTCTGTTCGTCGTCTGACTTTTCCAGGAGCGCGATAAAGTCGGAGGAGACTACATTCTGCAGTTCATCGTATCGTCCTTCGAAGGACACATGCCCGTTCTTCAAAATAACAATCTTAGGAACATTTTTCAAATATTGCACTTGATGGGTCACCAAAACCGTACACTTGTCACGCAGATAGTTGCTTATGCATTCCTCAAAAATGAGTCTTCCAACATGTGCATCAACGGCGGACAGTGGATCATCCAGCAAATAAATATCGGCTTCTTCGTATATAGCTCTGGCCAAGTTCACACGAGCCCTCTGACCGCCGCTCAAGATCACACCTTTCTCACCGATAATGGTACCATCTCCATGCGCAAATAAAGCTAAATCACGACGTAACGCGCACACATCAATTACTTTGTTGTATTTATCCTTATAATAACTATTTCCAAATAAAATATTCTGTCTGATGGTTCCGGTGAATAACCAAGGTTCCTGTGCCGCATACGAGATTTTACCACGCACTTCGATAATACCTTCAAGAGCAGGCAATTCGTGCAGGATCAACTGCAGTAAACTAGACTTGCCACTACCCACTTCCCCAATGACTGTTACTAATTGCCCTTTCTGGAAGTCAAGATTGATGTTATCCAGTGTCATGTCAGTGATATCCTCGTTCCACTTTGCTTTTACATCTTTAATATGTATTATAGGACTGTTCGCAGTAGTCTCTTGATGTGGCAGCATTTCAACTTCATGCATCAACATGAATTTCTTTAAGCGATTCATGGAAATTATAGCTTCCGCAATCTGCGAGATTCCATTTGGTAGTGTCAATGTTAGCGATTGCCTAATGATGTTGAAGAAGGAGATGATCATGAACACGTTTTCTGCTGTCGGAATGGTGTCAATCAGTACATATAGCAACATAGAAAAGAAAACGGCAAATCTCGCGGTGAATATCGACAACGATAAAACTATAGATTTGATGTTGCAAGTTGCCAGAATCTGCTTTATTTCCGATCTGCAAAAAAAGTTCCAATCATATATAATATCATAGTATAACTGATGATAAAAATTACTTTCTAGCAGCTGCGATCAGTTTCGCAAAAGAATCCTCCCACGTATACATTTTGATCACTTGAATGCCTGAGATGATTTCGCTCATAAGCCTCACACGTTCATCCGTCTTTAGTGCTGTGCGTAGTCGCACATTGGAAAACTTTTTACCTAGGTACACTGAAACGAATCAAATTGATGATTATTATTTTCAGACATAATCAGGCATAAAAGAATATTCACCTTGCAATGGTATAAACATGGTGATCATACCAACGCCACAGAATATTAGAGGACCAACGTAGAAATACAATATAACTAATATTATAATCAACTCTAGTGGACACAAAAGCATGTACGGCAAATTTACACACACAGTGTCAAATCTACTGACATCGTTCGAAAGTAAATTTATCATTTGTCCTGCAGTCGTATCACCTAAAGCTTTATTGCTTAATCTCAGGCATTTCCTATATACCAAAGAGCAACAGGACACACGCACCATCATGCCCATATGTTGCAGAGCCGTCACATATGAATGGACAGTCGTCACAAAAATAATTGATGATATTACTATTATACTAGTGTATATGTATGCATCATTTATGCTGTATTCCGTTTGTTCAGGAACGTAGTATTTCATCAAGTAATATAATGCTATTGGCTGGCATATTCTGCAAATTGAAAGAAAGGATAAAATAGATAACAATGAATCTAGATTTAAATTTAAATAACAATTTAAAACAGTTTCCTTGTTTACACTGATTAAATAAAATTGGAGAGAACATCAAGGGTATTCTTTATCAAAACTAAATAAATACAAATTTAACTAATTCGCTATACTGTGAAATGAAATATTCCAGATATTAAAAGATTAATGAATTTCGCAATAATATGTAATTGATGGCGCTATGTGATTTAAATGAATAATCTAAAAATTCAACATTTTGAACATTCTAATTTATACTAAGCTTACAAAAATATTTGAGTGATTGTTTGTTTTCTTACCTCAGACTTTGGAAAAATATTAATATGAAACAAAACTTGTAGTACAATCTACCGAACGTTCTATATAATGCTTTGAACAATGAAGGATCATCTTTTTTAATCTCCTTCTCCCATTCTCTTTGCAGATTATCACCTAATAATTCGGAACTGTGCTGCGGCAGTGTCTTGTAGAGGTCATTCTCAGTCAAATCCTTCTTCCATCCTTTCCTAAACAGAGGAATTGTGTAGCTGCAAATTGCCAAACGTTAAGTACATTTTCTTTTCTTTGGAAGCTGTTTTTTTGCAAATACCAGAAAAATATTGTGGAAATAATGTTCGCTTTTTCCTTGGGATTACTATTTAATTTCTTGCTTTCGGAATTCTCGAACATCTCCCTATAGAACAAACGGTTATTGCTTAATTAAAAAATTGAAAACTAAAATGACGTCTCGTCAGTCAATAGATTTCATTGACTTACGTATTTTCGTGACAATGGGATGAATGTTAAATGACGAATGGTGAAAATTATTAAGTGCGAAATATACCTGTGGTAAGAAGTTTGTTTTGCCGACGTTACTAAATACACAGAAAAAAATCGTGATAGCGGTGTAATCAAATACACACTAATACCTTTTGCTTAAAAAGTATGCATCAAAAAAAAACTTGAATGCTACTTTGCACATTAAATTTTAGGATCCGATGAACAAACAATCAATCCATTCTTAATAGAAAATTCAAATTAGCAAAGAAATATTGAAAAGAGAATATGCAAATTGAACTGATTGCTGTTATTTGATTTGCATATATTGCAATTGCGTAGCGATAAATGGTACATACATTTTGTAACACAAACTTACCTCTCTTCACTTGACTTAGGCTTATCCATTTCAACAAAATAGAATCATGTAATCGGCTTTGTTCAAGGAGCAGCAACATTCACATTGCTATATATATATATTTAACGTTAAATTTACTTTTATACTAATCTTATCGAATTACACGTCCTTAAGCAATATTATTCAATATACTATGTTAATAATAAAATTATTTGCAATAAAGATAGAATAGCCTCTAATGCACAAAATTAATCAAATAAATTACCAGAAAAACGTCTTTACATTTCTTGTATATATGTTTGCAATGTGTGTATTCTACGTCAATGCTCAGCTGCAACTAAAGCATCAATTAATAGAAAAATAATAATAAAATAATACAATACTCTACGTAATTACACGAGTACGTTTTTATCCTTTCAATCAATTTAGGCAATTTAGTTCGACAACTTTCGGCGTATGGCCAAGTCAAGTCACACTAATTGCTTGCTGTATAAAATAATCATTGACGTAATAATCGAATATTGTGCTTTAAAAGGGAATAAATAATTAAAACTTAAAACATTTTAGAGAGCTTTTCACGCGCCGGGACCTGGCGACTCTTACCACAGTTTTAGATAGGCCTCAATGGATATTCTATATTTCTCACGAAGTGTCAGCAGCAATGGATAAATTAGGTACAGGATACCTACGCCGCATGAATTTCATAGATTCACCAAAGTGAAAGATGTGGATATGGATATGGAAGATAATCTGGACCATTTTTTTTTCAATACTTCTATTTAAATTCTTGAAATATATTAATATTAGTGTTCACTGACTTTTATCTAGCCTTTTACCATAGCACATAGACAAGATAAGCCACAATTTTTAGAGATATTCCATCCCTGGACACGACACTACAAAGCCAATAAATTTAAGGAATTAATATTTCATGTGACTGCATTTTATATAAGCTTGAATATAAAACAAATATATATTTTTATTTTATTTTAAACTAAAACAAATAATAACAAATAGAAAACGTTTGGGCAGAAAGACCTTCTCCTTTACAACAATTCAATTTAGTTTCATATTTCTTATATTATTTTGTTAAGTTTGTATTACGGTTGTTGCAATAAATATTATTATTATTAGAAAACGTTCCATAAATTAATAGAAAATGTTACATTATAATTAACTATAGCCAAATATAATTGTACACAGCACTGTTTATATTTAACAATGTAGCTACATAATAAATGCCGATACAATACAATATACATACATTCTTAGAAAATGGTCGTGAACACACTGTACTTTGCTTTACTTGATACAAGATGATCTCACTAATTTATAACATTGGGGGAATCCCCTCTATAGGAGTGGACCAACCAACCTCTACTATATATTTTTTTTTTAAACCTAATAATGCTTTGATGCTTTATTTGAAAAGGCAGGCATTGGACATGTGCGCAGAGATAACTTTAATAAATTATTATTGTATTTAGTGTGAGATATTAAATGTAAATACATTAAATAAATAATGAGATATAATTCGTAGTGTTAAATATACTTAATCTGAATCTAACCAACTAAAATTAAGTAAGCCTGTCTAGTCAAACTGGCTGCTTTTACAAAAAAAACGAGGTTGAAACCTTTATCTAGAAAGTAACCAACCAGAGTTAACCATTTCAGGGAAAGGAAAGTAGTTTTGATAATGCAAGCGTGGGGACATCCTGTGAAGGGCTGCCCTCACTGTTTCCTACCTGAAACTAAATAATACAATTTTATTTTCCCATAGATGTAACATCTGCTATATTGATTTTATTTGTAAATAGAGATCACACTGGATCACACTATTTTTTTTTGTAAAATCACATTATATAAATAAGTTATTAATTACTTTTCAAATAACTACAGACGTCTGTGTTAGATTTATTAAAATAGTAATAATTTAGATGCTATTGTACAATAAAGAATTTATCAATTGAAATAGCAAAGTGCACAGATTTAAGACAAAAACAAAATAATTGTAAATAAAAATATACCCATAAAGAGTAAATATTGACTGAATATAACATAGTTCATATACATTATAGTATCAATTTTAGTGCCATAAGTTCATAAAATGTAAATATGAATTAAATTAAGAAAGTTAACTATATTTAGATACAAAAAATTACTCGCTTAACGAGTGTCGAGAAAGCCCGCTACATCATTTTCAAAACTCTATAAGAGAAATTTCCCTGCAATACTAAAATTATCTAATAAAAACTATTTTCGTATACAGGGAATGGATCAAGCAAGTTTCACAATTGAATGGTAAAATACATAATTTTATGTAGATCCAACCATCACTATCGGCTGCAGTCTCTTAAACAAATACGATTAACATACATCATACATTTATATCTTGATATGTTTAAAAAATGTAAATAATTTAGATATTGACATAAGTACGTATAACTATAAAATATATACAAAACAATAAATAAAGCATAAATAATAACAAGAAGTTGCGCGCTTCGGTGAACGCTTCCATTGTCGCATGTAAATATCTGGCAGTAGATGAATTTTATTTGTAATTGAAAGATACTTGAAACACGCGAACAAATCATTACGTTAATTCTGCAAAGTTTTATGTTTTGTATTATTTTTGCTCATTAAAAATAATAATAATTTTAGGTGACGCTGCAATTTCTATACCAGGAATTATTATAATGATTCTGAATAAGTAAAAGCCGGTTATTTATAATAAAAAATATCTATGTAAATATCAAATTATGAGATAATTTAGTTCATACATAGATCATGAAGATAAAATTATCTCAGAGACGTAGCTAGAAATATCGGGTAACCTGACAAATTAGAAAATTACAGTGTAGAACATGATACAACAGGACAGGACAACATAGATAGTACTAAAACAGAACAGCATAAAAACATAACCTTGGACTAACACTGTTTGGAGGCCATTTAACCTAAGTTTAGGTTACTTATTTTAGACCGCGAAGAGGTCTTTCATTGAACTTCATGAAAAGACTGAGAATATTGAAAGTAGATCATTTACAATATAACTATTATGTTATTTCATTCGGGGTGGAAACACTTATAGCATTATAAATTATGATTATTATCAATTCATTCATATTTCACTTTCTTATCTTATGCGTTTGAATTTACACTTATTTTGTTGGACTAATTTACCATTCAGCTAATTAATTGTGTATCATGATGAAAGCGTATTTTCATCTCTCTTTATGATGTAATTTAGTTTAAAATAATAACATGAATTTAGAAAATACAATGCATTTTTAGGTGATGTAACATGCCGTTACATTTCCATGAGTTATTGTTTTCTATAACATTTTTTACTTCTCTTTGTTATTTTTCACAATATTGACAATATTTGTATGCTTAATATTTATGTTCAAAATATTGAACATTCCTAATTCGATTAGCAATTTATTGGGTTGACATAAATATAAATAGTACAATCTGCATTGATATCCTTCGACCTTGGTATTTTTCTAAAAATACGGTAGTATATTTTATCAGGAAAGATGTTGCATCAATGTTTAACAATAAACACATAAATAAATAAAAATATAAATTCATTCTTGGGATGCATCATAAAAATTGAGGATTTTAGGATCGTCATCGTCTACTAAAGATTTATGACCGCAACCAGAGAAATATTCATTCAGTTTTTTGGTAGCAGCACTAAATCTGGTTTCGAACGAATTCTTGGAAACTTTTTCCCTCGAACAAATAAAGATTTCATTCAAGTCCGTCTCCAATTTATAAAAGGCGATCGTTTCAAACTTCGAACTCAATCCTTCCAGCAGATTGGGTCTAAGACTGGTGTTTCTCAAAACCACGTTTAGAATAAACAAACCTAAAAAATATATTTACTAAATGTGTCATTTTCAATGTAATGAAATCGTACCTTTCGGTTTTAAATTATTTACTACATTCGCCAATGTTTGTTCAGATAAAAAGTCTTTTGGTGGACAACTCATTCCCATTCCAGTGTCCTTGTTGTCAACGTCGAAGAGAACAGCGTCGTATTTGATTCCTGAAATGAACGAGTTGCAGCTTTCATTATGATAATAGTAAATATCTAATTATTCACACCTTTAGTTGCGTTAGTTGATAAAAACTGTAATCCATCCGTTATATCTATTTTCATTTGATCGTCCACGTTTAGACCAAAATACTTCGTTGCAACTTCGAGCATTTCCGGGTCTATATCTACTGCCGTAATGTTAATTCGCGGCAAGAATTTACGCAAGAATCCGCATAAACCACCCCCACCCAGTCCAATGATCGCAACATCCGCCGGTTTATCTTTCTTCGTGATCATATGCACAGCTCTACTCATGTAAATATGATGTTCACAAGTCAAATAGTTCACATCGATTACATCCTTCACAGTGCCTTTCCTAGATTTTACTGTAAATAAAATATATAAACACTATCTTCTGAAGTTTCAAATAGAATTATTAGTTTAAATAACTTTACTTTGCTTAATATTCGCTTCCGATTGAATGACATTCTGGGAATTCAAGTAGTAAAGTCGACGTGCTCTTTTATTGTCGGCTTCAACATCTTCTATGACGTACTTTCCTGAAAACTCCGATTCTCCTTCGTAAACAACAGTTCTTTCGCCGACGGTTGGACCTAAGGACAAAAACATAATCTACAGGAGAAATTATTTTGTTGTGTAAATACGAAATGTTTTCATACTGTTTTGCTTCCGAAAGTGGAAGGAGCCATACTCCTCACGCAGTCTCCTAATTCTGATTTAACTACATCAAGGTTTTCGTAGGTCTGTCCTCTGTGCATAGTTATTATAGCCAACCTATTGCAATTGGACTGATCAACTAAATATTTTCTTCCTTCCGTCGATGAAAACATCCATTCGCTCTCTCTTCCTTGCGGTACTATGAAACCAGCGTATTGTGTTTTCTTCTTATCACTTGGACCATCGACTACGTACACTGTATATCTAGGACTGTTTTCGCCGGACTTGTACAAGTCAAAATGGACATCATCATCAATAGTTGTCCGTTTTAATCCAGTGCATATGTAAGCCGCCTGCTGGACACTTTGCACGTTCTTCATTAACTCATCTTCAGTTGGAATGCGTACCATCTTCTCAGATCCAGCTAAATTAAGTTCTAAGATTTTCATTGGTAGCACCTTAAACTTAGTACAAACTATGAGGAAGACGGGCATAGGATTTTCGCCGGCTTCGGCTGCACTTTTTTCTGCCTCGAAGCATCTAATAATTCTCAACATACAGTTTTTAGCAGGAAAATAGTCCACGATCATCTTTAGAATGTGCTCTTGCAATAATGATACGCAAACATATCTCCCGCTCACTTTTAAAACTCGCATAATTTCGTCGAAATATTTCTGAATTCTCTCTACGGTTTCCTTCTCACCGTCAGGCATCAGCGCATCCAATGTGCCCTTATCTATTATTGCGGAAAACTGTTCATTTTCAAATTTCATATCTAGTGCGTCCATGTGAATAAATTGCATATCGGGTCGTTTTTTGGAATTCAGGTTGATCATTTGTCGTATTGCTACTTGAGATATATCAATATTGATTATTTTACTAAAATAACGATATAATTACTAAATATGAATTGTGATTATTTTACACATTTATTTACTTATATCCAATATCATAAAGATCATTTCCTAGTGTGGAATTACCACAACCTACTATGAGTACATCATCTTTCACTTTGATATATTTATGAAGATGCTCACACAGCTCAGGATACTCTCCATACCTAAATATTAATAGTTTATTAAATTTTAGTAATTTAAAAATCTAATTTTATATTTAGAATACATATTTATTTAATATAGTAAATAAATATATAGTTAAAATCAAATTACCATTCAAATGCTTGGTTTCCTCTTTTCTTGAAGAAACTGTCCCAATATTCCTTTTGGCTAAACTCTTCGCGACTTTTTGGAAGTAAATTCATTTTGATATTGTAGAATATTGAATGATTTTAACCTGAAAATCTAAATCAACCTAAATGTACACATGCACTACAAGAATAAAAACAACATACGTGAAGTAAATGCCGAATGATAAGTAAACTCTTATTGTCTCAATTAAAAATTGATCGAATAAGAAATTGATTTAATTTATTAAAACAATATAATGTATTTTCTATAATATATGAGAGAAAAATATAAAAAATAATATAGCAAATTATATAAAATGTGTACGACGAGTTGCCTAACCACCTATTTATTTTAGCTATTCTTCAGCCTTTTCAATTTTTCTCAAATAATATTATTATTTATTTTTATAAGTGAAGTTTTAATACTGATGCCCTCCATTTTCCTTCCTTCCTTTCTTCTTATTTTAAGAAAATAAATCAAAATATTTAAAGTTTTGAAGTATCAGTGTAACCAACATCACGTTTCATAAAATTTTCAACGGTTTCAACTGTGATTAACTTCGTTCCAAAGTATTCGAAATTGTAAACAAAAAAGCATATCTGCCTTTTTGATGAAATACATCATTTTTTTAATTCACGTGCTTTAATTGATTAATTTTAATCATGGATGATTCATTTCGTTTACTCATATCAATGTCACCCAAATGCAACAAAAATGTAAAGCAGACAAAACGAATTAAAGGTATGTTCAATAAATGTAATAATCATGTGTAATAAAAGTATATTTCTAGCTCCATCAAGGTTGGCTTTGAAAAAATCTATAAGGAGGTCTTCTGTATATGATAAACCACCCTTGGAAAATATATGTATAGCAGAAGAAAGTAGTTCTCAATCTTCCAAAAGCTCCAGCAACAATATGATTGATGATCTGCAAAAAAAGACAGAAGCTTTGAATATATTATCAGACACTAAAGTGCAATCCATTAAGAAATGGATATCTGATATTCCTAGTGAAATTGTTGATGAGACTACAGATTTTAATAATGTTTCAATTTTCAGTCAAGTATCTGCTATTCATGGTGAGCTGAGTAAGCCTAAAACTGATAATGGTCCAATTAATTCAACATTCATCAACAGTGATACAAGAACATGTTTTAAATTTGATCAATTATTTAAGAAAAAGACTGATATAGAAGTGCATGCTGTAAAGAAAGATAATAAACATTCAGATGATGTTATAGAAATTATTGAAGATTCTGATGAGGAAAATGATAAAGACAATAGTAAGTTAAAATAACTAATTTGAATGCCTATACCAGATCAATTTTATTTTAGGTTTTAAAACTGCAATAGATAATAGTGACAATGCATCAGATAAAGAAAATAACAAGAATCAAAATAACATAGGTACTAAATACATTTAGTGAATGTTACTTTTAAATTAACTCTTGTAATTGTTTTCAGTTTTTAATACTCCAAAACCTATAGCTGAATATGATGAATGTGAGTCATTATTGGATGAAGTTTATGGAAAATCTTGGAGAAAGGACAAGGAAAGGATTTTACCTCAATCTGAACCTAGAATTCATAAACCTAAAAAGTTATATAATGAAATTCCTATGACTGAAATGTAAATACATGTTTATGAAAATTATCAATATTAAGTTATGTGATTTTAGTAAATCAAGAAAATTGTATAAGAATCCTTATACAGATGCTGAACAGAAACATACTAAGACACTATTACAAAAATTGAGAGAAGATCGTTTAAAAAACACAATTCAAAATTCACCCTGGAGGCAGAAATTCAAAGATCTTTGTGACTCAGATACTGATAGCAACAGTTCTGTTAAACGCACTTTACCAAAGACAAAATTATCATTTGACGATGATGTACAACCAAAGAGTACATCGAAAACAAATAAAAATAATATTAAATTTGACAAACAAACTGCGAGTGATTCGTTTAGTGACTTTTCCGATTCGGGACTTACTTTAGAGGAAAAACTGAAAGGTAAGTTTTATAATATACTAATTTACTTATGATTCTTATTTTATATTTTAGGGAAAGCTAAAGCGATTCCTATAGAAAAACCAAAATCTAAAATTACTAAGAAAATAACAAAACCAAGAACATTTGTAAGTTCTAATGACTCTTCTGACAGTGATAATCATTTAGTAAATGAAAAAGGTTAAGTATATATAAATAAATGAGATTATCTATTTATTATTGCGTTTTAGATAAAAGATATGTAGACAAAACTAAAAATACACCTAGGCCTAGACAATTATCAATTTCATCTGAATCTAGTGAAAAGAGCTGGAGCGATTTTTCCAGTGATAGCGGCGATGTAGCGGGTAAACATTCCTAGTTAATTTGTATAGTTAAATTATATTTTGTATTATTTTCTTGTTAATAATCTTGTTAATAATCCAAATAGATAAACCAAAGGGAAAGTCAAATGATTTCCATAAATCGAAACAGTCACAAACAGGACCAGCTAGTTTTTTAGCATCCTTGTCGAAAAGTGTTCCAGATAGTCGGTGCGATGCATCGGCGAGAATTTTCAGGAATAATTACAAGACTTATAAGGATCAATTGCTCCAGAAACTATTCAAATTATACAATGAAAAGATATTTGGGAATGCCATATCGGAAGATTCTCCGATCGAGTGGAGTGATCGGATGACCGGCACAGCTGGATATTGTGTTTGTAGAAAAATCACCCACAAAAACGGAAAGATTGAAAGAAAAGTTAGGTTTAAATTATCTACGAAAATATTGGACTCTGCTGATAGGCTACGGGACACATTCGTTCACGAGTTGTGCCACGCGGCCACTTGGTTAGTGAATGAAGTTTCCGATGGACATGGGCCCTTCTGGAAGTCATGGTACTACAATCTAATTTACGTAAATTGATTCGTATTATATCAAACTGGTAATTTTAGGGCCTGTAAAGCTATGCGTACCTTTCCGGAATTACCAGCTATCAAGAGATGCCATGATTACACTATAAACACTAAGTACACATACAAGTGTATGGGTTGCGGCTACAGGTAAGCATGGCATTTATTGGATGTGATAATTTCTAATCGTTTTGTTTCGATAAAGTTTTGGTCGACATTCTAAATCTTTGGATTTGGAGAGGAAACGCTGTGGACATTGTTACGGAAAATTCGAAGTCTTGATAAATAAAACAACAAAAAATGGGGAGACGAAATCTGTACCTAGCGTTAAAAAGCAACCGAACGGATTCGCATTATTTGTAAAAGAAAACTATTCCAAGTACAAAACTGACAACATGAAAAATAAGGACGTAATGAAACTCTTGGGCCAGAAATTCAAGGATCTGAAAGTGGATCAGAAAAGCAAATGAGTTTTTATATGTGATTTTAATGTGTATTGTATTTATTATAATTTTATTATGTTTGCACATAATAATACAGTGAGTCTCTTAAATATTATAAGAGAAATTAAATTCAATTTAAGAGCTTTAAAGTATTACCTTTAATTATTATCTGATTGATTATATTATATTAATAACTCAAACTAAAATTCATGTTCTAATTTTGGTGAAAGAAATAATTTATTTGCGAAATTAGTTAGTCTTTCTGCTCAATATTTTTACCACACGACTTCTAATAATTTTATTTTTATATCTAATCGTTTAATAGTTGTACTGATTTTGCGATTATTGCTTACATAATTATAGAAATAATTAATATCTAATGTAATCATGCAATTATTTTAAACAATTATAAGATTTATATATTTCTAAAGATTATTCAAATATATAATTTAGAATCTTGCGAAATGATTACTTTCACCAAATCTCGTAAAGTTGCTCTGAATTGGAATCCAATTGAAGTAGGATGAATTTTATACTTTCTATATAGTGCACCTAACCTAAGCGGTGCAACAGCACGGGCACCACGTCCATTCTTCTGACAGCGAGCTTCACATGTGGCAAATTGCACAATTCTAAATCTAATTGCTGCATTGCGAACAAAGGTTAGCCGGTAATTTTGATAAACCCAATACGAAATTCCTAAATTTGTCAATATCATCAAATATTAGTCAGTTCTCATTTAACACTTACTCCATATGGTTGTGTGTTTTAGTCAAGAAACTGAATCATTTTATATCATATATTTAAATATAACTTTGATTTTGTTTGCAGATTAATTAATTAATAATCAACATGAATTCGCAACTGACTGCTAAGGAAATCCGTGCAAGCTTCATTGATTTCTTCAAGAATAAGAAACATGAATATGTGCATTCTTCATCCACCATTCCATTGGATGATCCCACTTTGCTTTTTGCTAATGCTGGTATGAATCAATATAAACCTATTTTCTTGGGAACTGTTGATCCAAACAGTGATATGTCCAAATGGGTGAGAGCTGTTAATACACAAAAATGCATCAGGGCTGGTGGCAAGCACAATGACCTAGATGATGTAGGCAAAGATGTATACCATCACACATTCTTTGAAATGTTAGGAAATTGGTCTTTCGGAGATTATTTCAAGAAAGAAATTTGTGCTTGGGCCTGGGAATTGCTAACTGTGGTATTTAAATTACCAAGTGATAGGTTGTATGTTACATATTTTGGTGGTGATGAGAAATCTGGGTTGAAGCCAGATGATGAATGCAAACAAATCTGGATTGATTTAGGTATTAAACCTAGTCATGTCTTGCCTGGAAACATGAAGGATAATTTCTGGGAGATGGGTGAAACAGGACCATGTGGACCATGTTCAGAGTTGCATTTTGATCGTATTGGAAACAGAGAAGTACCTCATCTTGTGAACATGGATGATCCAGATGTACTGGAGATTTGGAATTTGGTATTCATCCAATATAACAGGGAAACTGATGGCAGTTTAAAATCTTTGCCCAAAAAACATATTGATTGTGGTTTAGGCTTAGAAAGATTGGTTTCTGTGATTCAGAACAAAAGATCGAACTATGACACAGATCTGTTTGGGCCCCTCTTTGAAGCCATCCAAAAGGGAACTGGTGCTCCAGCATACCAAGGTCGTGTTGGCGATGAAGATGTTGATGGCGTCGATATGGCTTACAGAGTATTGGCAGATCATGCTAGGACATTAACTATTGCTTTAAGTGATGGAGGAAATCCAGACAACACTGGAAGAGGGTAATTACTATTATAGTCTATAAAACTAATTTAAAATTGAATAATCATATTTTTTTAGATATGTTCTGAGACGTATTTTGAGACGTGCCGTCCGCTACGCCACTGAAAAACTTAATGCAAAGCCTGGATTCTTTGCTACTTTAGTAAATACTGTTGTTGAAATCCTAGGTGACACATTCCCAGAAGTCAAGAAGGATCCTCAAAGCATTATGGATACAATTAATGAAGAAGAGGAACAATTTTTGAAAACGCTATTGAGAGGAAGAAATTTGTTAAACAGAACTATTGGAAAATTGGGAGATAGTAAAACTTTGCCAGGAGATGTTGCTTGGAGGCTTTATGATACATATGGTTTTCCTGTTGATCTAACCCAACTTATGGCTGAAGAGAAGGGCTTAAATGTTGATATGGATTCTTATGAAGAATCTAAGAAACAGGCTCAACTTGCTTCACAGGTAAAATAATTGATAAACCAAATGTAAACATTACTTTATTGATTTTAATTTGCTTTCTAAAGGGCAAAGGCTCAGGCGTGGAAGATACAATCAACTTGGACGTACACGCTATCACCGACATGCAAAACAAGGGCATTCCACCAACTGACGATTCTCCTAAATATAATTATACAGTTAGCAATGATTTGAATGCGGAATATAGCTTTGCCCCATGCGAAGCTTCTATTATTTCCATTCGCTACAACAAGCAATTCGAAAATGAAGTCAGCACTGGTCAGGAATGTGGAATTATTTTGGACAAAACTTGTTTCTATGCTGAGCAAGGTGGTCAAATTTACGACACTGGTTACATGGTTAAAATCGGAGATGAAAGTGTCGAGTTTTCTGTTAAGAATGTACAGGTCCGTGGTGGTTATATTATGCACATCGGCAGCGTTGAGGGTACTCTCAAAGTGGGAGATAAGTTAGCGTTGAACCTTGATAAATCCAGGAGGCGTTTAGTTATGAATAACCACACTGGTAAATATATAAATATATATTTTATAATGTAAATTGCAATTACCTTTGTTTGATAGGAACTCACGTACTAAATTATGCGCTGCGTAAAGTTCTGGGTACCGAGGCGGACCAGAGGGGATCATTGGTAGCTCCAGATCGTTTGCGTTTTGATTTCACTAATAAAGGTGCCTTAACAATTGATCAAGTGAAAAAGACTGAACTTAGCTCCAATGAATTGATTTCCAAGAACGACGAGGTATTCGCTAAGGAATCCAACTTGGGAGTTGCTAAAACTATTAAAGGACTTCGTGCCGTCTTTGAAGAGACTTACCCAGATCCTGTTAGGATAGTTTCCATCGGCACACCTGTCGAAAAACTGGAAAGCGATCCTTTCGGTCCAGCAGGAGAAAATACGTCCATTGAGTTTTGCGGCGGAACTCATTTGAAATATGCAGGTCATATTGGTGATTTTGTCATTGCAAGCGAAGAAGCCATCGCCAAGGGCATTCGAAGAATCGTCGCTTTGACAGGACCCGAAGCAGCAAAAGCTTTGAAAAAGAACGAATTGCTGGAAGCCAGTGTAAAGGAAATTAACAATCTGATTACTGCGGACAAATCTGGCTCCAAGTCTAAAGAGTACGTGAAGAAAATCGTCGAATTGACCGAGGAGATTTCACATGCTATCATTCCTTACTGGAGAAAAGATGAGTTAAGAAATGAACTGAAGAACCTGAAGAAAGCTTTAGATGATAAAGAAAGAGCTGGTAAGGCTGCTGTAGCCAATAAAGTTGTAGATGAAATTAAGCAGCTTGTAACCGAGAAACCGAATCAACCGATTTTGGTGAAAGAACTAAAAGCTTTTTCAAATACCAAGGCTTTGGATTCTGCATTAAAGCAAGTAAAAACCTTGAGTCCAGAAACATCCGCTATATTCTTCAGTGTTGATCCTGACTCTGGTAAAATCTTCTGCCTTTCGTCGGTACCAAAGTCTGCGCAAGAAAAGGGGTTGAAAGCTAACGAGTGGGTGGCCTCGGTTTCGCCAGTTATGGGAGGAAAAGGTGGTGGTAAACCGGATTCCGCTCAGGCTTCAGGAACAAATGCTTCAAAGCTGAATGAAATTCTGAGTTTGGCAGAAGAATTTGCCAAAACCAAATTGAATTAATTCCACAATTGCATTTATTTATTTTTCAGGCTTTAAAAAATAATTTGTTCAAATGTTTCTAAAACAACTTTAATAAAGCTTTTTACTTGTTTTTATCGTACATCCTTCTAATTTCCTGTAAAAGCTCACTTAAATTAGTTCCTATTTTTGCACTTACAGGTATTACAGGAATATCTGTACTGTCTTTTAAGATTTTTACGTTATCGAACGCTCCAGGTATATCAATTTTGTTTGCAACTATTAATTGTGGTCTTTGGATCAGTTCATCGCTAAATTGTGATAATTCGTATTTTAAAGTGTCTAAGTGATCACAAGGATTCTCGTTCGACACATCAATTACAAAAAGCAGACCCGAACAACGTTCCGCGTGCTTTAAGAATTGAATGCCAAGACCCTTATTTTTATGAGAATCTGGTATTAAACCAGGAAGATCAGCCACAGCTATTTGCTCATAGTCGTCATATTGTATCATTCCCAAATGGGGTTTTAAAGTTGTGAATGGATAAGGTGCAACTTTTGGTCTGGCTCTTGATATTGCTCTCAGTAACGTGCTTTTACCAGCATTTGGAAAACCAATCTAAAATAATTCAATTCAATATGAATTTTTAATTTTTAACTTGTTTACCATTCCAATATGGGCCATACTCCTAAGCTCAATACTATACTCCAATTGTTCCCCTTTAGCTCCATATTCACATATCTCTGGGGCCTGCATTGTATCTGATATAAAGAAATGGTTTCCTTTACCTCCTGCTCCACCACGAGCAGCAACAAACATCAACCCTTCCTCAGATAAATCTGCTATAACTTTGCCTCGTTCATTCTTAACAACAGTACCAATTGGCACATTAACAATGAAATGATCTGCATTTTTGCCATTGCAATCCTTGTTAGATCCTCTCTCTCCTGGTTCAGCTTTAAGAATTGACAAAACATGGGTTAAATCCTTCACATCCATGGATGCTTTTAATACCACATGTCCCCCATGACCTCCATCTCCACCATCTGGACCAGCAAACTCGTTACTCCATAAATGTAAAAATGATATACAACCATCTCCTCCAGATCCGCCTAAAGCTTTTATTCGTTTAAAATCTATAAAATGTTGTGCCTAAATCAACACAATGAAACTAAACAATACAATATATTTATTTCTTCTTTTACTCACTTTAACACTTTGTGATTTAGGTTTTCTGCTTCTTAAAGGTTGAGCAATTCCTTGACAATAAAATCGCGTTATACAAAAACTAATTGATCTTCGAAACATCTTTGTATAGATTAGTATCACTTATTGAATTTTTCAAAATTGAGGTTATGGTTTTTGATATTAGGTTATTTTTGTAATCAAGATTTGAATTTAAATTTAAAATTGATTGTACAGGAGTTGAGACTAAAAATCATTTTTTAAATATAAATATAACTGAAAGTTTTATTCATCATATTATTTTGATATTTTTAAATGTAACATGTAACATTAATTTATTAAAAGAAACATTTAAACACTAAAAGTAATAACATTTTAACATTAGTTATTAAAGTCTTCATTGCATGCTCAACTAGTTATTTCCCTATTTGTTCCTTCAAATAATTTATTAGATATGGCTAGATGTATCGTTATGAATAAATTTGTTCCAAACCTCTTATCAGAAATGAATGAATTGATTCTAATAAATTGTTCATATAAAATATTGTGTTAAGCATTATTTGGAGGGGCGGACCGTTAACTATAGGGCCTTGATCTAACACTATTTGGGGCACAGGAATAACACTGATTGAGGCTCTGTACTGACATTGTTTGAGTTTATCTTTATTATTTGCCTTTTGATATTGCCCCTAGACAGTATTAATTTGAAACTTTTTCGATAGTAACATTTCTGCAGTATTTATATCGTGAAACTTTCAGAAATTTTATAATTCCTTATGCGGATAATCCGTTCTACCAATATCCCGGATTGTTTAAAACCGGACTAATCAAGGAAATAATAAAAAATACTTTTGTGTACTGTTGTTATTATACATTATTTATTTGCCATAATTATGAACAGGAACATAATTATGAAATTAAGGAAGATAAATAATTAATCATATAAATAAATATAATGTATAAAGTTAAGAATAACTTTCATATATATTTTTTATATTAGTATAAACAACCTTTTGTAATCATGTGTTTTGTTCACATTGGTTGCTGTAATTGTTTAGTTTTATTGCCATAAATTATATTATTGTTAAAACAAATACATATACAAAAAGATATTGACTTCTATATTTCCATAGTATTGCTATTTTTTTAGTGCTGTGTATTTTTTTTTAGTAATAGATTATATCTTATACAATTACATCGCGCTGTTTATTTTGTGAATAAGGGTGGTGTCAGGAAATGTTTACCTTCGCAACAAATCATTATCGTTTTACTACTTTCTAATTTGTATATCTCCACCACCAAACAGCAGATTCTGGTTATTCATACAAATGTATTAGCGGCGCATTTTGCTAACATTTTAAAAGACGTGAAACAAAAAGGTAATTAATCATTACAAATATATCATTTTAAAAGTTATGCCGTTAAAATGATTTAATGCGAATAAAAGGATTTATTGTTGATTTTGTTTCGTTGGAGTGGGGGGATTTAGCTTAGTTCATATAGTCGAATAGCAGATCGCGCTTTTACGTCTTTTCTAAGTGGATTTCACGGGATATCCCAGCGAGAATACGAAACCGAAGTTTTGTATTTAATCACCAGTCATGCGTCGAGTTATGGATTTTATACCAAGTCGGTTTGCACTCAAGGTTAGTAGTGTGGTGGAGTGCAGTCAGTACGTATGTAGTCTGCGGCAAAAGATTCAAACTTTTGTGTGTGTGTATACATTTTAACGGGAGGAATATTGGTACGATCAATATATAGGTTAGAGAAATGCATTACAAAGTGTCCGGATGAGTATGTAATCCAGCCAGTCGGGCAGCCATCCCTTCCAGCAGGAGAGACAGAATGTCAACGAACGGTGCTGTGCCGAAAGGCAAGTGCAAAATAAACTCAGACGGCAGCGTCTCGCTGCAGGACATTCTGAGCTCCTTCAACTCCTCGATAAGGGAGGAACATGCGTGGGCATTGTGTTACAAATGCACCAAGTTCTTTATCGAAGTCCTGAAGAACAACCCCTCGTCCTGTCATCTGGTCAACGATGTCAGTCAGGTTTTCTTGCAAACCGATGGCAACGTACACCCCAACACCAGTCTCAACATCAAAGGTGATCCGCAGCGAAAGACCGCCAATCAGCAGGAAATCATCACAGGACTTGGATTTGTGATATACAGTGCATTGGGTAAGTTTTTAATGAACTTTCTAATTACACGCCAACTTAATTACATAGTAAATAATAAGAAATTATATGTGTATATAAATGTTGCAAGCACTTTCCGAATTCTTCAATGAAAGCGCGCAGACCGCTTGCATCTATTGATTACAAACAAAAAGTGGAGCAACCGCAACCAAAACAATTATGCGTATTTTTTTGTTCAGTATTTTCGATAACTTTTCAGATTCTTTGTGATATGCGTCATCCATTTGCATAATTCCCTGATGCGAAAGAACATATTCAAGACCAGATTTAACTGCTCGAAAGTAATTATAATTGTTGGAATAACATCTAATTAACGTTGTAAAACCATTATTACTATCGACATCATCGCATCCATCTGTTTCCTTTCTATTTATAAACTTATGTAATACTTTAAAACTACGTAAATAATAAGTATACAGAAAAATACATTATAAATACAAAAACTATCAATTTATAATGTATTAATTATATTAATTTGACATTTGTATCAACTTACTACTTAGCAAATATATTACATTGTTCGATTTATTTGCCATATGTTTACAAATTTCTTTAATTTACTTTCAATCATCATTATAAAAGCAATGGAAAGGTTCGTTGTAATTTATTCAGTTACAATACTGTCATTTTTTTTACGAATTTTAAAAACTATTGTATATGTATTTTACTATTAATTAATTAAAAATATTAGCAAAATTATAGGAGAGAAATTATTAAAGTTAATTGATGACTTTAAATATTGATTCTTGTAGAATTCACAGATAGATATGACATATCATTTTTAGTTTGAGCGCTTGAGAAGATACTGATTCAATATGTATACATATTGATCTATTTATCACTGTTTCAATGATGTAATATTTTCCTATATTATTTACAATCTCTCTGTTAATAATTGAACGACTAGTTTCGATATCAATTATGGTTTTCATTTGCAGGATTTAATGAAATAGTCAAACATGAAAGGTTTCTAAACATATGAGTTATAACATAATTACGTATTATTGAATTTTGTATAGTTTTGGATCTTCATTTTATTGTTAAATGAGAATTAAGGATTTCCTTCTAATAGCGAATGTAGAAAAGCTTCCAAGAGCAAATAACTATTCTTCTAAGAAAGTAAATATAAATTTTCCCTTAGTATTTCTCTGAAATTTCAATAACCGAATCGTTCAAAATACTACATTCTTATGTCTCGCAGTTTAAATATATTGCCATAAAACGATAAATTTAACATCTTCTAATCCTCAAAAGAAGTTTCCGGTACCTGCAATATTCAATTTTATTATTCTGATGCTCCAGGTGTCAATTTTGACCCGGTCTTTTAAAACCATCTTTCACCTGAATTTTATTGTTCGCAGAATATTTTATTTTTATGATAACATTATTTACTTTTTGATTAACGTACCATTTGTTTTTACCGATTGCAAAAGAGAGACTGTAGATAAATATTTACATAAGTGCGTTGCATAAGTAACTCGTTTTGAGTTCCTCATTTCTAAATTATTATTATTATTTAGAATTTGTAACGGATATGTTCATATTTAATGTAAACTCTTTCAAATGAATGAATATTTTCATTGTATTTATTGCATTTTAATGATGTGTAATAGGCGTTTGTTGGATTCATTACAGGCGATTTTTCGACGAAAATTTGATCCTATTGTATGACCACTATTTATTTATTTATCTATCTAATAAAATACTAATGTATATATAATATATTAGGGTTGTCATGTTTAAAAATATTATAATAATGATTGACTAAATACAAGGTGTGCCAACTTGGACTGACTGTTTTAAAATGTTTGTAACCTTTGAGTTTTAAATTTGTTTTTCATCGTACTGTTCGCAATGAAGATGTGGTGGCTGTACGAACGGCACCTGATATTTTTTGTGGGAATAAATGGTTTAGCAATAAACAATAAATCAGCTTGAATTAAATATTCGTAAAGAAATAACAAATTTGGAACCAGAAATGCATTAGAAAGAGTCATTACGTGTCAACAATAAAATATTATTTTCCATACTTATATCAGAAAAAATCTAAAACTATACTTTCACCTAAAGAAAGAAAATCTAAAGAAAAAAATACAGTTACAAAAGTTATATGTATTTCACATCAGTCAGTCGAAGTTGGCCCACCTAACAAAATCTCTCCCAGACGTCCTCGGATTCACGAAAAGAGTCGTGGACGTGGGCAATATATTTAATTAACTTAAAATCTCATTGAAACGAAATTAACTCTTAAATCGTTCCAGATGTTGAAATTGCTTTATCTAAATATTGTGGTACTTTATATTTCTAAAATAAACTTTTGATTACTTCTTAAAATTTCTTGTTGGTTTATTTTCAAATTTGTTCCGGTTCTTGGAATGTTATTTCCTACTGAATGAGATGAGTAGGAAATTTGTAAATAATTCTAAAGTTTGTAATTTAATTTTGTTTTGATAATTATCATATTTATATATTACAATACAATAAAATGTGCCTAAAATAAAAAATTTACATAAAACAAACAACAACAAAAATCTAATTTATTATTTTTTAGATACTTATATGAAATACCAATTTTCTATTTAGATGAAAAATCATATTAACATTGAGAAACTTTTGGTAATTTGATTATAAATAATTTCTCTTATTCAAATTATTTTTACTATTTTGTATATGTTTATATATTCATTTAGAACATTTTGTATGCTTAAGTTAATTATCTGCTAGCGAATCTGTTTAATTTTTGAGCTATCCCGTTCTCAAGGGAACAAGGTTTGCATATTTCGAGGAGTTAATGAACGCCCTCCGCCGCATTCTGCTTTAAACGAAAATGTCCTTGGTATAAAATATCTCCAGGAATTCATCTCACTTAAATGATTCACGTTGCATATTTTTGCTTTGCAAATGCACTATATAAATAGTCTATACTTTGTTGAAAGTAATTTCTAAAACACTTTCCATGTAAGCATACAAGGGGCCGCTTTTTTGATAGTAACAGATGACCTAAAATATGTTTATACAATTTCACATATTAATCGTGCGGCAATTTATAGTTATGAAGTAATTTACGATAATTTAACACTTGCGCAATCGCATCATGCAATGTAATAACAATATTGAAAACACACAGAGAATAAAAAAAACGATACTTTCATTACGCACTATTACGCATTATTAAGTGGTGAAATTTACATGAACTTCATAAAAATAAACTGACAAAGTTTCAAAACGATTCATGAAATTTCGGAATATTTTTTGCTATATATACAAAAAGAGAGTGGTGATCATTGGATAACAATGTTGTTTATCACATGTCGTGTACAAATATAGACAATTATTATTAGTATAATTTGACTAGGAATGTATGTTTTCATTCAACTCAAAATAAAGGTAGTTCTTTTATTTTCGATGTAGTCATCGCATCCAAATAGTATAAATATTCTTTCACACCGATAAGGAAAATGTATTTGTGATGTTCATTTATTTCAGGCAATGCTTATCGCACAATAATACATATGAAGTAGTCGTATAAAAGCATAAACAATTACAGAAATTAATTGAAAAGTTCAATTGTACTAAGGCGTACCTTTGTTCGTTACAATATTAATCACTTAACTTTAATTGCACTTTATTTATAGATATTTAATAAATTAAACATTGTATTATTGTTTATTTTGTGATTTAATATAATTGAAAACCTAATAGCCTGATATTTCAATACCGAAATTTGACTAATAAAATGTTTATTTTACTTGAATCGACGTCAATGATTGTGTCAATTAAGTCAATTTTTCTCTAGTCGAACAATTTCATTTTTTTGCACGGTTATTGATTATATTGACATTGCAGGAAATTGAAGTAGGTCAAGTCCTGCCAGGTTTAACGTGAAAATTTCTGAAATCTGTTTATCACTCTGAAACAACTTATTCAATGTGTCATCGTCGTAAATATCTGAATTTCTTACAGATAAGGTTATCTGAATATTTGTTTTGAAGCTGTTCCTTCAAAACAAATGTTAAAAAATGTTAAGTTATAAATGAAGTTTGTGTAATAATAACATTATAAAGTTATGCACGAAATATATCTAAAATAAAACAATAGACTTGTTAGCGGGCACGTGGTTATATATATATGTGTTAAATACACAGTCTGAAGGTCCCGTGTGAAAAGTAAACGTATCTCTAATTTCATAACTTGCAACAAAATAAATACTGTTATCCTCACCTTATGGATTATAGCTTTGATTGAAATTAATTGATATTAATATGTTTCTCAAATTGTTTTTCTCCTTTTCTTTTTTAATTTCAAATTATGCAACTCTCATATATGAATGTATGTAGATGCGTTTGTTTCGCTACTTCCATAAGGAAATGAGTTTATAATTTGTTTCACTCTCATTAGTGTTCTGTCCTGGTTAACTCTGTACACATATCATATATTTAGTTAATATTTAAGTGCTCAAATTGTGTAATTATATAATATGTTTGTTTGCGTTTCAGATCAAGGAACTAATAATGGAGAAGAGAGGACGATCAGTCAGGATCTAGAGGAGTTGATCAATGATATGATATCGGAAGAGCGAAGTGTACATAATGAGACGGACGATGAAGGTATCGAAAGAGATTCCGAAGAAGGTGCTCACATGACTTTACAACAGGTATTGCAAAGGTAAAAATTGAATTTCGTTACACAAATATTAATTAATGAAAGTGAAACTTGATTGAGGGTTCAGCATATTGATGCTATATTTATAATATTTCAATTAACCTTTCTGCCAGCTATCGATCTCAAGATATTTTAAGGATGCCTCGGTTTCTATATTTACATAATAACTAATAACTCGGCAGGAAAATTAAATGAAAATCCGAAGCGGGATGAATTGTCACCGGGAAATCCACTTCCTGATCTCATTCAAGTTTATAGCCAATTACGCATGACTGCATCTCAATTAGATTTGAGGATTAACGATTTTCTCGATGATTCTGGTTCTTATTCAATATTGAATAAATGTTTCAGGTGCGACAGACATTTAGAGAATTTAACAAAATATCAGGCGGAATCGCACTACCGGGCGGTGGTGAGGGCGCTGGTGGCCGAGGCGCTTGAGCTGGCGACTTTTCTGGAAACTGTTGCGCAGGGTAATTTGGTGTGCGAGGGAAACTCTAGAAGAGATTTAGATCAGTTGCAGTTCGCCGATTGGGCGCGTTTCTGGGTTCAGGTCATCGCCGAACTCAGGCAGGGCGTTAAACTGAAAAAGGTACATTTTAACAAGGCACCAATCGAGTACGAACTGACGCCCTATGAAATTCTTATGAAGGACATCAGGTCATGCCGCTACACATTGAAGAAAATTATGGTAGTTAAGATATTTGTTAAACGAATTTGTATCATATAATTTCATCATAATATTAAAACTTTCAGATAAATGGTGATGTACCAAAAGTAACCAAAGACGCACACGCAATAATATTAGAGTTCATCAGATCTCGGCCTCCTTTGAAGAAGGTGTCGGATAGGAAGCTTCCACCAAGGCAGTCGACGTACACGCCTAGGGAGCAACTGATGAATTCAATAAGAAAGGGTAGGAAATTGAGGCAGACACCGCTGCCCTCGTTGTCGCCGACGAAGAAGCAACCGAGAGACGACACCCATGTTAACAGCCCGAAGAGGCTAATCAAAATAGACTTTTCACAGTTGGATGACGACGACGAAGATTCGGACAGTTCCGAATCGGGTCTTTGGCAGCAAGAGGAACAAATGCAGACGAGTAATTTGGACGCGTACGATCTGGCGCTGGACTGCCAGACGAGGCACGGTAGGAGACACACGCTGGGCATTTTGTCTTTGGAGCCGAATATTGGTAGTCAGTCGGTGCCGCAGTCGAGGCCGGGCTCCAGGCAGTCCTGTGCAAGTTCCGACGCGGAACCGGTCCCTCTGGACCCTCAGATCGCGCGAGCTTTACAAGACGCGACGAAACCCTGGCACGAAGTGGTGAGCCTGGACGATCGATTGTCTTTAACGCTGCAGGAGATCGTCCACATCCGTATGGTGCTTACAAAAGCCGAGCTGGAGACTCTTCCGGTAGAGCGGCACGTGCGCGGGGACGTTGAGAACCGCAAAGTTTGTTTCCTGTGTTTGAAGACGCGTTTTGGGATACTTGGACCGTGGGGCCACAGATGCACCCTTTGCAAACGCACGGTGTGTTCAAAGTGCTGCTCCAAAATGAACATACCAATGGAACACTTTTCCAGCGTGCCGGTGGTGCTCCTCAGCCCAAGCATAATGGCAACGCCAGAGGACGAATATAGCGTTCCTTTCGCGGCGCGCTCGAAAGTTACTGATTCTAGTCCCCAGTCGAGTCCCTGCACCTCCAGACCTGGTAGCTCCCTGGACCGTTTCCGGTCTAAAGCCAACGCGGTTGGCAAAACCGGCAATGTGGTAGACAAACTTCGAAGCTCTCAAATGTTAGTCTGTCAGGATTGCAAAATGATGGTCTCACAAATAATCAAGTCTGCTCAAGCGAACCGCAGCGCCATCAGGAACAAACATCTGCAAAATTTGACATTGAATTTATCACCGGTATTTATGTAGAGAATTATTTAATAATATTTAATTAACAGAATTTGTCCTTTATTTACTGAACGAAAGAAAAAAGAAAAACAAGAAAATTGATCATTTAATCGGATTTAAGTTCTTTCAAGTAATTTCGTAATACATTTTTTATTTCTATTTATAAATTTGAATCTCTGATGATTACCATGTATATAAACACTGTTCATTTGCTTTTATTTATATCATTTTTTTTTCCTTTTACTTCTTAATAAATGTGAATACGTAACATTGTCGACACCGTTATTATTTAATTATTTAAATTCACACAAACAAATCAGGAAATCATCTTATGCGAAAATCCAGTCGCCAATATATTTAGTAAATACAGGACAATATATCTTTTATCAAATGTGGACGTACCTAAATCATACATCATACAACAATGAGGAAACATGCTAGTGCTGCCATTAATTTAATGTGAAATTAATATATGAAAGCACCACTACTTCTTCAAAATAACAATTTATTATGCACACAATTTCCAAATATTTAAAAGTTCAAGAATGTAATAGAAACTCGAGTTTTCATAATAATGCCTCTTATTCATCTAATTTGTAGCCAAACTTGAAAGACTGTAAACAAGTTATTTGTTTCGCTACTGTTACGAGCTTTCGTTTTCAAACATTCACATAATGTGCTTTCAACCTTTGAAATATAATGTTTAGGTTATTTCAAAATTGATTGCATTCGCTTTTCGTGCAAAAATATATAAATTGACAATTATAAGAAATACAAATTGAAGCAACAAATCACAATAAAAACTTTCTTCTATGCAAACCAAGTAAATCTGCTTAAATGCGTGAACACTAAACAACATTTGACAATCAAAATTTACTCGATCGAAGACTATTGTAATTGCAAAATATATATTTTCGCACTTAAACTTAATATTTTTCTAATTGTTTTCAAGTTGTTAGCTCAATGAAAATGTTTTTAAATCGAGAAAAATAGCCTTCAAAACTAATTCATTTAATTAATTACATTAGCTAGGAAAATTATTAAACAGATACAATATTATATATATATAATTAAATGATACGTGAAAATATATCTACGAGCAGTTATAGATTAATTGAATATATTTAAGAATGTTGTTCCTCGTCAAATGTTTATTGTACATTCCAAAAGTTTCTAGACCAAAAGAAAACAATATTAGTGCATGTTTATTTTCGTATTAAATCCCCAAAAATCTCTAATTCTTAAGTGAAAATGTAAAAGTGAGATGTAACAATAATTATGTTCTGCACAAAGGAAGAAAGATCTTATAGATTTGTACTAGTCAGTAGGATATATATGTATATGATATTAGACGGGATAGATAGAAGAACCAAATGAAATGCACAATTGTTCATTTACTTTGACTGAATGTGTTGATATTACTAAAAAACAAAATCTCTGTGCCCCTTATTAATTAATTATATTCTTGTAAATTGGAGGAAATATATATATAAATAAAAGAGTTGTAATGTATTAATCAATTTTGCTTACTGTTTTTGCATTTACCTTAATTCATTTATATCTCCTTGCATCATTTATATATTAATTAATTTTAATGTTGAACATATTTAGTTCTTTATTTTTAGTTGTAATTAAAATGCCACCTACGATTACCTTGCGAAAATTTAGAAAATTATTCGTTTTTGGCTGTCAAAATTTCGATGGGCTGCTCGGGGAGTCGAGAAAATTTTGTAAATTTATAGATTGTTATGTAGAGTTTATAATGTCTCTCTATACGAGATGCCGTTTAGGTGCCGGAAATGCAGCGGCTTTGTTATGATATGTCACCACTAACCGATGCGAAACTTCCGATAATCTGGTTGATCGGCGCTCCCGGAACTGGTCGAGACACCCAGGCGGCGATACTAGAAGACTTCTACAGTTTTGATGTCCTAAAAATATCGTCTTTGCTGAAGCAACATGCCACCAATGAGACGGATCGAGGAAGGGTTATCAAGGAAAACTTCATGAAAAAGAATAAACTAATACCGGACGTTAGTAAATAAGCGTTTCTTTATAGATTAAGAAATATTATCAAGCTTGCTTTAGACCATAGTTATTGATATCATCAAGGAGGAGATACTCTCGAGAACAGCATGGGCGAATGGATTCGTGTTAAATGGTTTTCCAAGGAACGCCAATCAGGCAGATATGTTCGTAAAGGAAGCGTGCGATGTAGACGTGATCCTTTATTTGACATGCAAGGTGCCAACAATGGTCAGCAGGTCTCTATTCAAATCCGATAGCAATAGACTCGTCGATGTCAAGGTAGAAATAGCATTGTACAATAAACATCTGGCGCAGGGAATCAAAAAGTACAGCGCTAAGATTGAGAAAGTATGTAACTTAACAATTAAGTCAAATTGTACTAATTACGATGTTGCAGTTCGACACAACCAAAGATTCTCCGGACATTATATTTCCTAAAATACAATCTGCAATTGATGTTCGCGTTTTTCCAGACGGAAACAAAAAAGACAATACAAATGTACATAATATCATCGACGAAAATTAGATTCACATCCTCCCCGATAGCCCTCTTTGTATTATCAAAATAAACTATTTAACTAATTATTAAATGATTTTGGATATGTTTTGATTATAAATCAATGATTCATTTATCTTTGCATTGCAATTTAAAAGTAATGAAATATTTTGGAAATAGGGCCGTAACGATAAAAAAATAATTAAGATTGTATTTAATGATCATACACAATTACAATACATCTATTAAATGGTTCAATCCCAAAAATCACTGAGATTTATTAATTTTCTCAAGGTCTTTTAATGTTCAGTGAAGTAATATCATCCCCTACTTTATAAATTAAAATAAATTCTTATAAATTAGTGTCAGTACAAAATTAACGTCAAAAATTCAAGTTAATTATGCCATCATGTCATGTTGCATTTTAAATGTATTGCAAGGGATTGTAATCGTTGTTGGATGTGAGTAATCAATAAGAATTCTTTAAGAATCATATAAGCACATTTTTTTTTAGGTTTATTATGCATATGTTTAACCTATTATATAGGACATCACATAGCATATTGCATCCTGAAGAAATTTCTATATTTAATGCCCATCCTGATCCTTTTTTATATTTTATACAAAATTAGTCATATACATTTATTTTAACTTTTAAATTCAAACACTGACATACATGTATGACAATCAGCTGTTCGCAACATCGAAATCAAATGTTGGTGACGTTCCACATAACCTTTGAAAACAGTACAGTTTGATGAAAGAATAATGAAATATTAAATTATTGGCGATGGATTTGGAAGTTAAAATGAAATGGGCCCAGACCGCCTCACCCGAGGAATTACAAGCAGAACTGGAGAAAATCACGAAATTTAAAGTAATAGAAAATGATCAGAACTAAATTATTTTCTAACAAATAATTTCTATGTTGTAGGATGAATCATGGGTGAATTTGAATAGTCTTTCTGCTCAGAAAGTATATGTTGATGATAAAATAAAGGGCCTAACTAAAATCTTACCTACCCTGAGAATGATAAATGATGAAGCAGATAATTTGGTTGGTACAATTAAAAATATTAGTGCATCTTCAGATAAAATTAGTGCTGAAATAAAAACATTAGACACTGCTCGGGTGAGTTCAATCATTAATTATAATTGATATATAATATTTCAATTTTGTGTTACACCTTCCAGAGCAGAATTGAAGAATGTCAAAAGAGAGTATCTGATTTGATTGATTTGGAATTATGTGCTCAAGGTGTTCAAAAAGCCATAAATGATGAAGATTACGAAACTGGTGCTGGTCATATCCATAGATTTTTATCAATTGATCAAAACCTGCTGACAAAAACTGCCGCAGATGTTGAGAAAGCTTCAGGCATTCAAAAGGCTGTCCTCACTTTGAAAGATGCTGCTTCACAATTGCAAGCTATTGTTCAGCATAGATTTGATGAGGCAATTAGGAATGTGGATTTGGGCACAATAGAGAGGTTCTTCAAAATATTTCCATTGCTGGGAATGCATGATGAAGGCATAAGATGCTTCTGCCAATATTTAAGTACTAAAGTATAGTATGAAATGAAGTCATTTTTAGAATGAATTAATATAATTATTTACAGATTGAAGAAGCTGCAGTAAAAAATATGAGTATAGCTTTAAACACTTCTATATCAGACAAAAGGCAGCCTGTGGTATTTGCTGATACCCTGACGCTACTCTTTGAAGGTTTAGCTAGGATGATTGATACTCATCAGCCTTTAATTGAAACGTATTATGGTCCTGGAAGACTGCTTTCTGCTGTTAGTATATTGCAAAATGAATGCGATAAGCAGTGCAATCGCATAATGTTAGAATTTAATAAGAATCGTCAATTGAACCGAAAAATTTCATTGATAAATGAAGTAAATACGGGTGGAAGTTTTAGTAAATTGGATAGATTGGACCCAAAAGATTTGGATATATTAATTGGAGAGATGACGGTGATGCACATGCGAGCCGAATTGTATATAAGATACATACGCAGAAAAGTTACAGTAAGTTAATTATAAATAAAACTATAACTGTGATGAAATGTTCATTTCTAAAGGCAGATTTGGAAATATCCACAAACGATGATGACGAAAAACGGATCAAGCTTGAAGAATTGGAAAAAGTCATTAAAAACAGTCACCTAACGCAGAGTAAGCATGAACTATTAGGCAATTATTTGAGACTGGAACAGTATTTTATGGAGGAGTCTATTGGCAAAGCCGTTAATATGGACACGTTTGATACAAGCTCAGATCAGCAAACTTCTTCATTGGTAGATGATACATTCTTCATTATTCGAAAATGTATTAGGTATACATAAATTAATTTTGCACCACTATAATGATTATAAATAATGATTTAAATTTTCTTATAGGAGAGCTATTTCTACTGGAAGTTTGGATGGATGCTGCGCAATTATTAACACGGGGTGCCGAGTTTTAGAATCCGATTATTGCGCGGTACTAAAAAACAAATTAAAGCAGGGATATCCATCCGGTTATCTTGATTTGACACAGGCCTACAACGTGTTACAAACATCATTGCAACAAGGACGGCTGCAGCCCAGCGATGCAGAACAAGCAAGGACTACATTCTTAGTGAGTTCAATTGTAGGCAGTCTATGATAAACACAAGCTTGACATCTTCTTGTATAAACAGGTAGCTTTAAATAACGGCGATGTTTCCACTGAATACGTAGAAGCTCTCTGCGATAGCGTTATTCAGGAAATCGATCAAGTGATGCCGAATATGAAAACCAATGATAGAGGTAAACTGGAAAGTTGCCTGTCAGGTCTCTCTTCGGTCACCACCAATTTGAAAGACGTCATTGATTATGGCATGCAGCAATTGCGTTCGAGCGCAGTGAAGCCCCGGGTGAATCCTTGGGTGGATGCATTCCTGAACGTAAACCACCAATTCACAGAGGTAAATCGTCGTCGTGCATTAATGATCATTTGAAAATATAGTTGCATGTTATTCACTTGTAGGATGAATTATCTGCGTACGAGGCTGGTGTTCCGTTCGTGCAAACACTCATGTTCAATTTAGATTCTTTGTTGTCCACGTTAAAAGCATATTTAACACCTACTAATTATGATACTCTAGTTGGATTAGTTACATCGGAAATAACTAGCAGACTTGAAAAAGTGATATTAAAGACGACGTACAACCGAGTAAGTAATTTTAAATAGGTTCAACTTGTATACATTTCGAAATTCATTCCAGTTGGGAGGTTTGATACTGGATAAAGAAGTTAGAATGTTAGCTGGCTATTTAACTACATCGACGTCGTGGTCTATGCGCGACAAGTTCGCTAGGTTGACACAGATCGCAACTATTTTGAACTTGGAGAAGGTTTCTGAAATTGCTGATTACTGGGGAAGCCACGAGGGAGCCTTGACTTGGAGATTAACGCCATCTGAACTGAGAACCATTATGGGTTTAAGGTGAGTCACATATCACTATTGTTTTAGAAATGATTTTAATGGTCTGGTTTTACTTTTTTAAATAGGATGGATTTCAAAGTGGAAGACATAAGGAGATTAAAGTTATAAATCTGCGGAGTTCTCTCGATTCAATTTTATTTAATTTTTTTGTCAAGGATGCAAATATTACATACACAACCTTACTGTACTTCAATATACAGGGATTCAATTTGTGCCGAAAAGCAATTGTAACATCAGATTTTCTCACGCAAATCTATTTTTATCATTTTATGTGTTCTCTGGGACGGACATGCATTAAACTTACTGGTCCAACTATCAGTCCAAATAAAAGAAATAACATAAAAGTGTAGAAATACTACCCCATTTACAATATAATATATTAGACATTTGTTCAGTAAAGCCATGTTTTTATCTTCTTTTTTTTTATTACTATTAATATATGTTATATAAATATACATGTTAGAGATTAAAATTGTCCCAATATAAATATAATTTTTCTTTAATCTAAATATTCAGTCGGCAGACCTTAATCATATTCCTATGGACGCAGTAAGTATGAAATTCTTGGGTTTATTATAAGCTTAAAAATTTGAGTGAATTATCACAGAAATTATGATAGCACGAGGTCTAAAGGCCACAAAATACAGACTCACGCTTCGGGTTTGATTTTACTGCGGGAAAAATCTAACTGAAATTTTCTCATGGGGCCTTCAGTTCGTATGGAGAGGTGTACGCCTATTCACGTAAATTGCACAGCCCATGCAAAACAGTAATTGAACAACCTCTCCGCGCTATTCATTCATTACTCTTTCTTTCCTTTTTGTATCCCTCTATTCCTCTCGGATTACGTAACTCGATGCATGTTTGGTTTCTAGTAAACAAACACATTTCAGGTCATTGTAGTAGTACTATGAGAACTTCGAAGAATCCACTTCTTTTTTACCGTAGAGTGCGAGTTACGTAACAACTGAATTAAAAGAAGCATCCTTTTATACAATCCTACAATATATGCTAATTGTATTAATAATTATTTAACGAAAAAGAAAAGTGAATAAAATAATTACGCTAAAGAAAAACATCTACAGAATAACAAATTACAAAAATAAGGAGTAATAAGAACAAAACAAATCGTTACTACAATATTTATAAAAAAAATAACGTCCTATCATAGGTGTTTTCTTTTAAACAACTATTAAATAAATAATAACATTAAGGCAGGCAACAAACGTCAATTACAATATTTTCATATTTTTTGGATGATTTTTGTAAACTTAACCACAGAAGCATAACATAATGAATTGAAAAATATTTCTAAAAATATATATTATATACCGTATAGTTATATATAGTTAAAGATCTGTCTGTTAAAATATATAGTATTTCTTCCCTGCGCTCTTTGAAGACACTAAAACCCATTTTACTTATTTGCTCTCTTGTTTTGATTAAATGCCAGATAAAAGTGTCCAGATTTTTTTTCTCTTAAAAACAATACAATAACTACTGTCATGTCAGATTTTTACAAAATTTCGTCTCATAATTGTATACCTCATAAAAATGGATTATTCGAGTGTCCATTCGCTACCTGCAAAAACAAAAAATTAGTACTTGCAAGACTTAGCATAGTTTCAAATATAGACAGTACTTTGAATGGGTTCGGTATCCATGTGGTACCATTTATGGGCGGCGTCGAAAACATACTACCACCCCCGTTCATGTTGTACGTATCTGGTGCAGTGGGCGTAGAAAAGAACGGATTGATTCCATTGCTACCGCAATGTTGATTGTTTCCATTTGCGGCACCCCAAATTCCATTCGAGTTGAAGGGATTCGAAATGTTCGAAGGCTCTTGCGATAAAAATTGGTTCATAAATTGACCTGCAAAAGGTAAAATCAAACTGAACATTCACGGAAAAAGTAATTAGGAGCAAAACAAATCACTTCGCTCCAAAAGTTTTTGAATAAATTAATTTTATAATTAAAAAATGTCAAAATCTATTTTAATAATTCAGTTGTTAATATAAAATTGCCGTCTATGATTAATAATAATTTTAAATATGGTTAATCTAAGCAATGATGTTATAGCTAGGAATCGAATGATATTTTATATGTTTTAATAAAATATGTTTTGTATACGAATGCTATATTTACCTTGACTAGGTGAGCCGTAAGATGAACTCTGAGGCGACGCGGTCGAACTGTAAATCGATCCAGCAGTTGTTGGAGAACTGTAAAGACTAGAATTGGAACCTGTCGAAGTCCAATCAAGCATTGGCTGCGCTTTGAACGCATTGTCCAAATCCTTCAGGGCAGCATAACGATCCTCGGAAGGCGCTGAGGGACCGTTAGAAGAAGGATGAGATTGCTGGTGGTGCAGCTGCTGCTGATTGTTATGATGTGATCCATTCAAACCGTTCATAGTCGTTAAAGGCATACCTGCAAATAACGTAATGTTTAATGAAAGACTAGGAAAAACATTGTTTTATATAAAAAAAAACGTTATATAAGAAACCTCGGAAAAATAAAATACATAAGCGATAACATCAAGAAGCTATTAACTAAAGTTCTAGTATACATATTATATTAGTACACACAATTTTTGTTTTGGCAACAAAATAAACAATAGTGGTAAATGTTGTAATTTATATAGATTAATGAGTCGCAGGCAAATAATAAATCAATTCTGTTTAAATCAGATATTTGAAATTTGGTTTTCTTCTTTTTTTGAAGCGACTTACTCCATCTGTTCACATTCATCTTGGGAAAAAGCGGAATGTGATTGTACACCGGCCCATTATTTGTGAATTGCAGATTGAAAATACTGAACTCCTCCTCGTCTTCTCTGTCCTCGCCTGATTGGTGGCAGCAGACCACAAAACAGAACACTTAACATTTCTACATACAAAGCACATATATACACATTCACACACACACGCGTATACGTGGCTGACATTTTAGGAGGAATGTTTTTTGTGAGGATTCTGAGAACCGGCAAGAAGGTTTCTTAATTTGTGGGAGAGGATGTAACAGAATCGTGTTTCTGGAAAAACGATACGCCCTGCGGTTCGGTGGATGTGTATACTTACTAGCATTGTTGAAGATGGTGTTGTTGTCGAAGTTAGCGAAGGAGAGCTGATTTGTCGTCGTGTTAGATGGTATCGTGTTGTTGATGGCAGTGGCGTTGTTGTTGGCAGCGTTGTAGATGTTGGCATGTGCAAAATCCGCGACAAAGTCGTGCTTCGTTGTCTTGTCTCCGTTCACCCGGAGCGGTCTCGGTTCCGCAATGATGGTGGCCAGAGGTTTGACTGCAGCCTCTTGGGTCTTCATCGGGCTGCTCTCTGTCGCCGTCACCGTTTGCTGCTTGTTGTATCCGTTTTTCAGCGCCACCGATGGTTCCATGTAGTAGCGCTTCCTCTCGTATTTGTCTAGCATCAGAGTGTGGACAGCCTGCTCATCCCTGTCGACAGGTTTCGTGCCATCGTAAAGGCCGAGCCAAATCTTCTGGCAATAGTCATTACCCCGCGTTCGCAGCAAGTCAATTTCCTCTTGGGTGAACGTAGCCATGGAGATGGACTTTACACGGTGCGGAGGTGTCAATCCTCGCCTACAACAAGAGAAGAGAAAAATGAGCATGGTTAGGAAGGTTCTCGCCTATTCAATCATCATTCTGATCAACTGCAACTGGTCCGGAATATTTCTCTCTATACTCACAGTGACAAAGAATACAACAATGATCTGAATGCGGCTTTTGAAAAATGAAAATGTGCTTGGCTGATTGAAACCGTACACCGTATTGCGAACCAAATAAATCAACCACCCAACGTGCGTGAATTTATATTGCTTTATTTTTATCGGTGTAGAGGCGTATTTTTCTCCGATATCGGCACGTAACGATTAATGAAAATGCAACAAATAATAAATAAACCTTGGGACCTTGGACGCCGTTGAGCAATTGACCGATGGGAGGAAACGCAGAAGCAATAATACAAATATACATTTTCGATAAACAAATAAACGGCATGTGCCCCAAGTGCGGTTTGCATTTCCTCGTTTGGCGCGACTTATGACTGACTAGCTGCCGATAACCGGAGGTCACGGATTGCAGGCTCCTCTAAAATCCCGCACTGATTTTAGAATTTTCTAAGAACGAGACGAATGAGCCGCAACAAACAAACCAGTCGGTACCAGCCACCAATATCAATATTTTCCTTTCGCAATCAATGCAGTGTTTTTTTTCATCATCTTGTTCTGTTTGTGCTGCTCATATTTTTACTTTTCTTTTCTGGAATCGTTCGAAGCAATTAAACCGAGAAACTTAAATTACCAGTCATCGCTCCAATGCGGACATCATAAAATAAATAATAATAATCGCAAAGTGCGTACAGTCATATCGCGGCCACTGTTGTTAATTGGAACCAAGAATCTTAGGCCATGCATAGCAGTGCATACAAAAAGGCCAAGTACTCGACATCGCTACTTTTGTATTACTGCAAATTTACAGTGTTTAATGTCAAGAATATTATTTATATTCTAATAAATATTCATAAGACCTACTTCTTAATTTTGTTTTGAAGAAAAAAGGCAATATAAATATCGTTCTGATCTTGTCATACAAAAATATTGTTATATTACAAACTGCATATTATAAATAAATTATAATGATCTAACATTATTATTATTATTATTAAGAAATATAAAAACGAATGGTTAAGTTATTAATAAAATAAAATTGGACGATATATAACGAGTAAAAGTTATTTTCTAGATTAAGTAAAACTTTCACACATTTAAGAAAATAACAGGTTTGTTTGGAATATCTAAAAATTATAAGGAATTTGATTAATATTGTAAATATTTGGATAATGTTTTTCAGATGAAAATAATGCATGAAATAATAAAAATTATCGGTAGCAATCGAAAGCCCGATAACCAAAATACCGTCAAACAAATTCCCGACAACCATAATAATAACATTTTTAAATTATTCCGGAGCGCAGTTACTTTTAAATTGTTATTAATAATAAATAACAACAATTAATAATCTAATTGTATTTGAGATGATTTCATAATGTTAAGGTTTATTATGAATAATTTATTGTTATTAATAATAAAAATGTAGCACAAGGAGACTACGCTTCGAAATAATTTAAAAATGTTATTTTCGATATAGTCGGAATTATGGTTGTCGAGATTATGATACAGTCGGGATTATGGTTGTCGAGATTTTGATATAGTCGGGATTTCGGTTGTCGGGCTTGCAATATAGACCCAAAAATAATACATTTCAAAATGTAAATTCAATAACATTTTGAAATGTTTTTTTTTATTGAGATGTAGTATGATGGCATTTTAAAATCAGCATCGCTTACGTTTTCCAATATTTGTATAACACATCTAGCGACCTCGGAAAAGAACGAATGGACTTTAACAATTATATAACAACTGCATTTGCTTAAATTTTATATTTGCAAGTTATGGTAACTCACTGCACTCGCTCCGATCGAGTAAAAAGTGCATTTGTTATTTAGAAATTCTAATTGAATATGGAATAGCATATTCTTACATAACGTGATTATTACAATGCTGCAGTTAGAAACATTCTGACCTTCGTGCTGGATATATTTTTTGCCGTGATGTAACTACGTGCAAATGCATAGAGCAGTACAGGAACGCCTGTCCGATTTGAATTTTACTACCCAAGAACGTTTTTCTCTTTGCTGACGACACGCGAGTAACAACAACGTCCACACTTTTTCCATGGCTGTTGATTAATCGCGGTTTTCCTTTTCCGACCCGCAGACAATGAAAATAATTTTCTAAAAATAATAATCTAAAGGCCATACAATAAAAAAATCTTACATTAACATTTAACGTGGTGGCAAAGGAAAGTTTATTTATAATTTTAAAATAAGACTAACATTTGCAACAGTTACAAGGATGAAAGTCGATTCTTTGCTCGAAAGTGGCTATTGCGAAGATATTTTTACAATATATATATATAATTTCTTGAGAAACTCGTTTATTTACTATCAAATGTAATATCAAGTGAATATAAACAATGCCTTATTAGACAGACAAACGAAATTCATTTCGTGAAACAATTATAAACTACTTAAATAATTGATCATCACTGGAGAATTAAGTGAAAATGTAAATTATAAAATCTACAGAATCGTAGTTTCATATAAGCAATAAATAATTAACGATAATTATTTACAAATTATATACGGCAGAAAGACCTATGGTCAATAGCCCAATAGTAAAATAGAACAGTGACGTACATTATTAGTAATAATATGTAACATCGTCAACTTATTTATTTAACGTATTGAGTAAAAGTTGACAATACCTATTGACCGAAGATAAGCAATTGAGACGTATTCAAATAGAAATCGCGTTCGTTTTAACACGTTTCTCGACAGGAGTAGAACAAAATAACTAATTCCGTTGGTTTTAAATACGCAATTATTTCCACATGAAATATTAACATTCCGATTTCGTACTATTAGCTTTTATTTCCTACTTTACTTCATTACCTTTTTTTAAAAGAAAGTATTAATGGACGATTTATGATTGCTTTGCTGCGTGCAAAAATTATACGCTCGTACTATTTAATGTTTGGAAATTTATACCTATACGCATTTAGCTTTCGTTTTTGATAAAATTTAGGTCGAATGTGCATCGAAATGAGCACGACGACGTCTACGACCGGAGATGAGAGTGTGCTTAGTTATTAGATCCAATGGGCATTTTTGTGCCCTTGATTGTTAAAAATGGGAGGAAATGTGTGAGATTAAATTGGAGATATCTCGGCCAGTTCCGGCATGAGGCATAGCCTGGCTTCGAAACGGACCACAGCATTTATTATCGTAATAGTGAATGGTGATAATAATGGGCACTCGCATCCAACATATTCCATACAACTATACAGTTAACTGAATATAAGCCACTGGGTATGTATGTGTGCGCGGCCCAAATAGCGATGAATTTTCGTGCTGAAATATACTTTCATTTAGACGTGACATGTTAACACCGTGCACGTCCGAACTGCATACATACTATGAGCGCGACATTCAATTACAATCTCAATTACTATTAATTTGACCTTCTTCAATTTTCCATCAATACATCCAGAATCGATACTTTCTCACGTTGCCGACACGAACAAGAAAGTAACGCATTTCTAACGCCATAAATACATTAGTCGCCTCCACAATTTCTGCAAACCCACAGAAATAATACTGTTCCAAATCAAATGTCATCGAATAAAACTACGTATTTGTTAGCTCAACGAAAAAACGAACAATAATTTTATAAATAAATATATCAATTTTACATTATATTCCATAACATGAATTATTTAGATTATATTCTATAAGAGCAAAAACGCCATAGATATATGTGGATTTTCTAAGTGTTCATTCGATCACAACAATTAAATATAAAAGTTTGTCTTATGTATGAGAAAATGTCGTGTGCAAACTTGAATGAATAAATGAATTGACCTTATTGCTTCATTTAATGATCCAATTTGTTACATGATTTAAGTCTATATGTAGTTTTTTGTTACCACCTATTAATGGCTAAATCTATATCATCTGTAAATGTGTAAACATCAAATTAATGGTGGCGTATCTGGATCTAGTAGAAACTTATGTTTATTCTATCGTATATTTCGTAATACAGAGAACAACTAGTAGAGTCATGTATATTATTAATACTCCATTAGTATTAACAATATCTATAAATATATTGAATCAAATATGATCAATATAGTTATAGTCAATAAAGTTAAAGTGTATGCGTACAGCTGGATCTATTATTTGTTTTGTTGTAATATATTAAAAGTGATTCAATGTATTATATTTATTATGGTCACGTTAAGGAAATAGTAAACGTCAGTAGTTTCGAACTACCGGATACGAAATGCGTGGGACGTGTTTGATATTCCATTTTCGAAGATGAAAAGTTTGTATATTATCAGTGATATAAAAACCAGAAGCAGATAGTATTAAATACATTTTGTTGAAGGCATAAGTTTAATATAATTAATAATATAAAAAACAGCTAATATTTTATTAACCGGAATTAGATAATAATAATATATAAGAGCATAATTACTTTGCTCTTTAAATAGAAAGTGTATGGAACTAAATTCAAATTATTTTAAAACGTGAGGTGTAATCAAATACGAACATAAATTTGAACCCTTTTGATTTATACATAACTTTCGGACGTCAATGTTACAATTACTGTCACGAGAATATTTCGTTGGACGAATAAATAACCTATTACATATTTACTCGTACTCAAATTTCGATTTAATGACAAAGTGAAGCAGTACTTTGAGAATATTCCGTTCAATTAGGTTTAACTGGGTAAATAGTTCTCCGATACAAAATCAAATCTCTTTATCATGCTCAAGGAACACTATTGTTTCCTGTATATGACGATAATGGATTCAAAATATTCTAGATTATGATGTTAAATTGACAGAGTTTATATAAAATACAAATACATATGTATCTGTCTCTTAATATTGACTTACATAGATCAATTCATTCAACTACGTAAGAATATTGTTGACTGAAAATTTAAAAAAAA